AACTGTAGGAGTTTGAAAAAAAAGTGTCCTTCCCTCTAATTAGGAAAATGAAACATGAATCACTGAACTACACATGAAAGTTTCATATCCATTGCATACGGGCTGTTCTGTGGGCTGCCTTAGTGAAATAATAAGAAAAAAAACATAGCAGATACAATACATGCCTTCTACACACCTTCAGTGCTTGACCTCTGACTAACATATCAATAAAACTATTTAGGCAAGTAGTCTAAAGCAGCGGTCCCCAACCTTTTTTGCGCCACGGACCGGTTTAATGTCAGACAATATTTTCACGGACCGGCCTTTAAGGTGCTCCTAAAAAAGCGTAGAAAACGCTAGGCGCGAGGTTGCACTCCGGAGGCGTCTGTCATTGCTAAGCAACCATCAGCTGCGCTCTCCGTTACAGCAAGGAAATTTCAGCAATGGATTTCCACCACCGAAAAACCCTTGCTGTAACTCTTGTTACAAGATTTATTTACTAAGAAGAGTAAAAAAACAAAAACGCTGCAGTGTTTGGGTGCAAGACCGTGCAACCGATACTACAAAAACGCAAAAACCATGGGGAATTTCACCAAACGCAAAAACAATGGGGAATTTCACCAGCTGATTCAGGAGCTCCGCCTGGACAATGGGAGGTTCAAACAAAGCCTATTTCAGAGTGGACAAGGACCAGTTTGATTATATTTTAAGAAAAGTTGGCCCAAGCATCAGTAAACGGAGCTTCTGCCGTGAAACTAACTTATCTCTCCTGCGCAACGGCTCTGTATTTGTCTGAGGTTAGACTATAACTGAAGTGGTCATAAAACACCAGAAATACATACACATTTATATATAGAATATAGAACAATTCTGTATAAACAATGATGGATTTAACAAGGAATCAGTTGTGAGCATTAATATTTTTAGTAAAAATATTTTTTACTAGTAACTAGTGCAGCAGTTTACAGTGTGGAAGATGATTGGTTGGTTCTTGTCACGTGACCTACAGTGCGCTTGCGGCATTCTGAAAAGTTGAGATGTTTTTATCTCGATGCGGCGCGGATGCGCTTGGAAAAAACGGGCGCGTCGCTTCCATTATGAGCGCGCCTACATTTGAAATAACAAACTTGAGCGCGCAAAAGACACGATATGTGAACAGGTAAATGTGTGAACAAATAAAACGGAAATAATGTAAGTTATTTATTCTTTCTGTGCGGCCCGGTACCAAATGACCCACGGACCGGTACCGGTCCGCGGCCCGGGGGTTGGGGACCCCTGGTCTAAAGGCTAAACAAGGTTCGCAATTAGACATTTGTCCAACAATAATCAGTAATACACACTTAGAAACAGTTCAGCGTGTTTTGGAATTTGAAGGCTCGAGCTATTCTGTCAGACATTAATGATTCTCTTTATTCACAGGGCACCAGAGTGGAGATTTCTGCCAAAAATCTCAGAGTAATGGACCAGATGCCACCTTTTGCTCCCAGGTATTACTGACTCTTGCTATTTAAAGACATCGCTGACATTAAAAATTGAAAATGATTCTTGCTACTGTAGGAATATTATTCCTACTAAATTCCTGCTACTTCTACAGTAAGTAAACCCTTTTTAATCGTCATCACAGGCTCTTCAGGTTGTGTTTACCCCCCTCTGATGGAGATCTTTGAACGAGGTGATGTCCGTCTCTCAGGCCTTCTAGATGCTGGGAGATATCAAGACTGGCTTATCATTTTGAGACTATGCCTCAGCACATCTCAACTCCCGCCCCAGCCTCATCCGGGTGAGGTCAACATGATGAGGAATGAGGAAAAATCTGGCCACCTTTATTTCCTGCTCTGGCAGCTGAGAAAATCGCTAATGCAAACGATGCTAATCTTGGCTAGCAGTGTCTGCCCACATTGCTACATTGTTTAGTCTCCTACTGGATCTGCGACTGGCTAAATTTAGGCTGTATTATCTCTTCCTTCGCCGTTGACTGCAATCTTGGGTCAGAAAGTAGGGTGGTTTGGTCTGGATGGCGACGTTAAGTTCAGATACGTGGTGATTATGTGCAATTACTGTAGCTTAGCATGAGTGTCTGCACTGTGTCATGAGAGCCGGTGCCCTCAGAGAGCTGTTGCGTTTCTCTCACTTGTATCAGGTATTACGAAAGTACTGAAATCATTCCAGCCTACATGGACCAGTTTCATAATCTTCATTTTTATCCGTTGTCGTGTTTAAATGAGTTTTGATTCTGTTTAACAACACAGTTTTATTGTGAAGTTCTATCAACAACGCATTTAAAGGAAAACAGGGAAACAGACGGAGGCTATCAGCTTCTCAAACAATACAAAAACTTAGACCTGCATTCAAAATACAAGATTTTACTGTAATCAAAATGTTGATATTGAAGACTGAAACAGCTTATTGATCAATTTGGAGAAAAATGTACAATAATGTCTGCTCGTCCCTGGTGTATAGCACTTTTTTTTTTTTTAAGGCGTGAATCAATGCTGTGTTACAGTGCGTGACTGTTCTGGGGAGCTGCTTTATGCGGCTGTTTGGAAAAGCACAATAAAAAAAGCTTGTGTTCTTTAGTGTTTGTTAAACATAATGTACATTGTAAAAGAAACGCAAAGGGATCATTTGAAGAATGAATAGATATAGTAGGATTTATTGAAGTTTTGTATTTAGGTAAATATATATGTATCAGAGGGATAAGCATATGCTCTTTGGGAACAGCAGTGCTATAATTTAAAGAGTATTAATAATTTTAAAACAAATATAATATTGTACATCTTTCATTTTGTATACTTAGTGTATATTTGGATAGGAAACTTTATTGTGCTTTTGCACAATGTGTTCAGTATTTAAATTTCTAACTGCGGCTGTGTGGTCAGTAACAGAGTAGGCCTGGATTAGTTTGGACTAGTTAAGCTAGTTTGTACGGTGTGTGACGGGCTTTTGTTACATGCAAAGTCTGTTTTTAGATATATATTGTTAAATATGTTACATTCAGTAACCCTGACAGTTTGCATTATTTGCTCAAATTTGACAATTTCAGAGAGAGAAACAAAGATTTGAGTAAATGAATTCACTTTAGTGACAATAATGCAACACGGCATCATCTAATAATTTTATTCAGGCGTTCATGTTTTTATTGTAGCTCATAGCACGTCACTGTCTGTTACATGCATGGAAGTTAGATGGTGCAACTTAATACCATGTTGCAGTTTTACATGTATTGATGATCAAATATTTTAGAAAAATAATACTTGAATTTATGCTAATAAATATTTGTTTTCCATATATATCCAAAATTGAAGGCTAGTGCTGGTAAAATGCACATTTATGATTAATTTGATTTTAACATTTTACTTGGTCCTCAAAGCAAACTGGAAACAAGTGTTTTTAATCCACAGAATCTGTGCAGTGTGTTTATTGTATGTTTTGAAAGTCCTCATTGTTGCTTGTTACAGTGCTCTTTATAATGTCCACATGAAACTTATCATTTCTGTATGATAAACCTAAATCTAGTAAAACCCAAAGACGTAGCATTAGCATTAGCATGTTCCTATCACTGTATTAAAATCTCAGGTTTCTGCACCATCTCAGTCCATTATTGTGCGATAGCTTCCCATTTCAAAAGTTGACAAGACTGCATAATTTAACATCACTAATCAGTCTTCTGAAACATAGTATGCATGCATTGAAATTTTATTTTATATACATATACTGCTGACCTGTTTTCAGTACCATTTTAAGTTTATATTGCCAATTTTTAACTTCTTGCCTCAATTTCAAGTGTACTTTTAGCTCAAAGAGCGGAAAAATATTCAATGGTGCTCGCAAATCAAGCCTTTCTTTTGGGGGCCTTAGTTTGTTAGTCTTTACCTCCTATTTTTCTATTGTTTTGTTTTGTTTCATTTCAAAATCATTTTCTTAATCTTACAGCTTCTGATTGTTCCTATTAATAAGAGCAGTTTAATCAAAACCTCACTGGTGGAGTGAAGGAGTAGATCTAATCTGCATCTAAAAGTATTTAACTTATAGTTTATATTAATGTTTGACTGTGAAGTCTCTCTGTGTCCTCATGCTTTCCTGAACTGCATTATGGCTCTTACATTTTTCCTGCTGGTAATGTAAGCATTTATCCAGGTGTTTTTAACTCGATGTTGAATTAAAAGCATTGTATGAAGTTCTCCTTTCTGAGGTAATGTAATATTACCCATATATATTATATATTTTGATCTTCAGTGAGTAGAATTGAGATAAAACTGAGGACCTTTAGTAAATCCAGGGGCCCAGCAGTGCCTCAGAATTGTCTCGGATGTAAAATTGTCTTGTACCCCAAAGCTCAATGTGTCGCCCTCATTTGCGAATGCAGCCATAATAACATGATTTCATAGAAGCCTTCAGTCTGACTGGGGTAAACAATTAGATCTCTTAATGAAGTTCTGCTAGGTTTGTCTTTATGCTGTATTTAATGCATTGCTAATATCAAACAAAATAAAAGAGTATCTGTTTATAAATGATTTCTGACTTGTCATTGTTAGAGATTACTACATGTAACAGCACAGAATAAGTTGCATAATTTATAGTGTGTTTAAGTGGCTGTGAAGAGATGTTGAGAACAGTGAAACATCCTGCATCAATTAGTGCATTTTCAATTAAACCCCAACTTTTGATTGGTAAGGAGACCAATCAAAAGTTTTTGACCCTTTTTTAAAAATCCATTATGGTTTCTCTGCTAGCTGGCAATCACATATGTGTGTAAATGGACATAAGAGAGTATCTTGTTTTATAATGCTTTATAGTTTTGCTTCAGGTGATACATCTCGTCTCCATTCCGCTGTTTGGAGACTGTAAAGTTCTCTTTACTTCCTTGAATGATTTATCTTTCTAATGATTTGCTACTTGAAACAATTTGTTACATCAGCTACTTAATCCCAAATCTGACTGCTGAAACATTAAATACAGACAGAGGCTCGTGCAAGAGCCGGAAGGCGTAAAGATAAAGGACTACCCATTGCAGTTTCGCCTTAGCGTTGCAATTGGCTTTTAGTATACGAGACCACCGCACTACAGAACACACCCCGGTTCGGCAATGTCTGCCCACGACTACTTTATACACTCGTTTGGATCTGTCAGACTGTAAGGATGGTGAAAAAATCCGCCAACGGTGAAGTTTTTCTCCCTCCGTCAGGGGAGAAGAAACAGAAAGTCGGGTTTGTGGGACTGGAGCCCGGGGCTGCGGAGACGAGCCGAGACGGGGCACTTCTCATCGGCGGTTCCGATAGCACAAAACGGGGCAGCATCCTGAGCAGACCGAGGTCCAGGGGCAGCATCGCTCACAAAAGAAACGCGCGTTATCGCAGACTGCAAAATTTCCTTTACAATGCGCTGGAAAGACCCCGCGGCTGGGCGTTCATTTACCACGCTTATGTGTGAGTATGTGCTCCGTGCTTGTCTTTACTGCGTGGCGTGGGAATCACCCGCCGACAGACAGATGCTGCTGTGCTGCACCGCCCAGAATGCTGAAAGTTTGAGATGTTGTCGGCCTCTGCCTGCTCGCAGCTTTTGTCGCAGAGCGTCAGTCAAACAGTGCGAAAATGTGTAAAAGTTTTGTCTGTATAGCAAATGTCAAAGATGAATTCAGAATCAGCCCACCAAATGCTTTTCACAGCTGTGCATTTCATAAGCTGGGACGTTGGAAAGTGTTCACAGACAGTTAATGATGTATTCTACTACTGTACTCGGTTTCAGCACCGGTCAGCTCCTGTGCCGCGTCAGTGCGCTCGTGTTTGCTCCACACAACACCGGCAACAGATTTGTGATGCATGCCAGGAGGGGGAACCGTGCCAGCGGATCAAACGGGGCCGTCGCTGGGGTGATCTGGAAAGTGAGGGGACACATTTTAAACCTCATTAGTCTGGCTTATGAATATTGATAAGGTGACGTATTCGCGTAAATGATTGTCTGAAAGGCATGAGCGATCCCAATACATCAGGTTGATTCGTTCTTGCGTTTAAGTAGTTAGACAACCGAATAGAGGAAATAGACTCATAGACGAATGTTCTATCGGGACTTGATTTAAAAGTTTAAGTAGGCCTACTACCTTGCCTTGGCGACGGCGTCTCAAACGTGGCGGTCATGGCGCCATAGACCATGAAAAATTGCTCAAAATCGAAATAAATCAGCATTAACAGACGCAAAAACGCGTGTTTGGCGACGAGAAAAAAAAATCTCAGCTGTTTACATTAAAACCAGTTTTGTCGTCACTCTTTTGGGTCGTTTTTGTATAATGAATCGGTCAGGTAGGTCAATCGGTTCGCAATTCAGTCTGAATCACTCGAACAGCTCACTCACACACTGAATCGAGTAGTAGCCTACAGGACACCGATAACAAAAAGAGACCTGGAAGAAGTGGATATTTACCTAAAATTAATTGAAACGCATGCCAAAAAGGCTTGCGTGGACGACAAGCAGGTAAATCCAAATGAGAATACACGACACGAAAGTGCAGCCTACAATGACATATTGTAGGCTACACGCTCTACTGCAGATACCATTGTACAATAATAATGTAGTAGGATCAGGGGCGGCGCCAGGGGGGGTCTTGGGGGGTCTCAAGACCCTCCCAAAAAATGCGTTGACCCCCCATTTGACCCCCCACCCCCTTCCTGATTAAAAATATATATATATCCGGGATAAATATTTAAAAATGTTTATCTTCAAACTACGCAGAACATACAATAATAGTTAATATTTTATTCGACATACAAAATATATAAACATAAGAATCACGTTCCCTCTAAGCTGCGCGCGTGCGCGGTCGTGCACTTCTGATGCCGCGGCCGCGCAGAAAAGAATAATATGCCACGCAGAGGACTGACGCGAAATGTGTGGGGAAATCCATTTGATTGTATGTGAGAAATAATTGCAGTGCTCAAACTGGTGAGTGCAGTTAACAGGTTTCAAAGAAAGAGAACGATGTGAGCGCGTGTGATTGGCAGTGAGTCGTGTGTGCGGACCAAATAGGCTATCTCAATACGAGAGGCGACGAGAAACGCAAAGACATGTGAAATAAAATCACAATATCATGTTTTAAAGAAGAGTGGTTTGATTAAAGTGGTGGAAATAACGGATGATGGACACAGAACGGTAATTACACACCCACCCGCGTGCAAACTCAAAAGACATCATTAGTTTAAATAGATTTAAATAGTTTCAGGCATGGTTAGATTAGGCTACTATAAAAGAGTTCACATATTCACTTTTCTTGAAAATATTTAGCTATTAGATCTAGCTATTTACAGTAAATGCTTCAGTTTGTTTTCATATTATAATAATATAATATGAAAACAAATTGAAGCATTTAAACTGATATATTATATCACTTCAAATACTTCAATTCATTTTTTATATTATATTATATTATATTATATTAGGCATAAATTTTATTATATTATAAGCCTAAATAAAGAATCTCACAAGGGTATTGTTTAGGGCTCATTGCCATTAAAAAGTTTGAAACCCCCTGCTAAAGAAAATATAGGCTAGGAAATTCATAAGCTATAAACAATCATTTAACTTTGATGGTTTAATGCTGCCTGTACAATTAATTGACTGTACAAAAACACTTTATGGTTTTCCTAAACCATCTCAGTGTAACAGCTTAATTTTCTTTCATAATATATTATATTATTGTAAAGAATTGAACTGTCCTGCAGAAGATTTTGTAAATAATTGTTCATAGGATATCTTAGTAAAGACTGGAAACAGAGGACACCGAGGAATTGGAGGATGAGGAGGATACTATTTTGTAAATATGTTTTCTGTCATGGGTGTGGCTATGGCAATTAAAGTTCGAGCATATTGTTTGCAAACTGCAATTGATTAATTAATTAAAAACAAAGTAGTTGATATGCTGTGTTGTTTTTGTTGTTAAGTAGCTGCAATATGCAGTTATTAGCCGTTTCCACTGTATTTTTTGTTGGTTTTCATGAGACCCCCCTTGAAATGACCAGGACCCCCCATTGCCCCCCCAATCAAAATTGTCTGGAGCCGCCACTGAGTAGGATAGGATAAATGCAGTTAATGTGGGCAATAAATTACTGATTACTTAGAAAATATGACAGGCCTAGGCTACTGGTGAAATACTAGAAGTGCTCCTGACCACTAGGCATATACTTTTTTTTATATACCTCTCTCTTTGTTTTTGTTTTTTTGTTCTAGCCAAATAATGCAAGTTGTAAACTACTGTGAATCCGCATGAGGCATTATTTTATTTTGCTCTGGGCCTGTGTTGTATTTTCTCCTTCATTTTCCTGCTGAGCTAATCAAAAATCCTCACGGATTGACATTTCTGTAGTAATTTGGAACCAGTCCTAAAGGATTTTAATGGGAATTAAAAGATAATCAAATAAGATCCTACCGGATAAACTAAATTTCCCTCTTTATTTCATTCGTTGAACCCTGTTGGATATTGTATTATCTTTATAAATATCCCCAAATAATGTATTTCTGTTGGGCAGAAGGGAGTTTATACCATTAAATATATTAGTTTTAAAGATTTGAACAGAGGTTTCAGTGTTTCAAATGTCTTTTTTTATGTCCTACTGGTGCATGCTGTTATTAGTAATCATAATAGTCCTGATAATAACTGTTTGTTGTAAAATACTTTGTGTTTATTTTGTGTAATGTTGGAATTTACTAGGAGATTGTCATTAATTTTGTATACCATTGGTTAAATAATGACACTCCCAATAGGAATCCTTTCAAATCTCTAGAGAGAGTGATTGATCCACACAAATCTCAAGGCAAGGCATCTCTTCTTATCGAGCCTTTTAGAAACACATAGAGCTTCCAGAGTGCACCATTACCTCAAATGTTTTGAGATCCATTCATCTCTTATGAAGATAATAAACCAATCTGTCATAATGCAGCATCATAACCATAAACTCTATCATGGATGCTGGAGCATGAGCTGAGTGGCTGTAAATGTCTTTGTCTGCTCTGCCGGTCATGCAACCCTCATAGAAGACTCCCAATTCAGCCTGAGACATGAATGTGAGTTCTGAAGATACATTATTTATACAGTCACTACCCTTATTTTACTCTGTCTAGTACACACACACACACACACACACACACACACACACACACACACACACACACACACACGTACTGAGTGGAGTGCAGTGTGCTGACTTTGGCCTCTTTAAGTGTTTTTTCTCATTCACAAGCATTAAATGCAGAGATAGCACTTTGCATGCTGATGCTGTATTAGCTAAGCCTTTATTTCTCAGGCTTAAGGAAAAGGGTACAAGGAGATACTTAGAAGTGGTGAATGCTGGTGTCTTTGATATGCGAGTCAGAGTATTTGTTACAATAATTAGTATGCTTATTGTACAGTATATGCTACTTCATTTAGATAATGATAGTCAGTTATGGGCAGCTAATGCAATCAAAAGGTTAAGAATAAAATATTCTAATATATTATTTTTATTAAATAAATTGTTGATTTTATTCAGCAAGGAGTAGGGCACATTCATTTGATAAAAAAGAAACAATAATAATAATAATAATATAAAATAAAAATTCTCCAATAAAAATAATAATTTCAAACTTTCTATTCATCAAACAATTCAGACTTTTTTAATCAGTTTTCACAACTGTGACTGAAGCCTGGAGTAAATTCATATTTACCATCACTGGAATAGATTACATTGTAAAATAATTGTTAAATATATTAAAATAGAAAACAGTTTTTACTTGGTCAGCCTTGGTGAGCATAGAATAAATCGCAGTTAGCTTTGTGATTTGTGATATGAAACAAAGTCTCAGCTTCCAAATCCTGTCATTTATATTACGAAATTCAAACAATAAATACCTTTTTGGCGCTCTATGTAACATGGAATGCTGTATAGCGCATCAGTTCAAGCGAAGCGGCAGTAACAAGCACATGTAAACTATAATAATCTCTTCCGCTTTACTAGTTATAACACAAAATAAACATGAATGAACATTCGAAGTTATGTTGAAAGAAATCCGTATCAGGTCTTATGTTATCGCTCAATCAGTGTTTCAACTTCGGAAAGACATCTTACTGAAACCATTTGTGAACAATAGGCCTATTTCACGTAATGTTACATTTACTGTACCTCAGAAAAGCCATTCAATGTCCATAAACTCATTAGCCTGGGAAAAAAAACCAGACAACTTCCGGCAAATTTAGATTTGCTCATAACTCAGTTACAACTGAGAATGGTCTGGTTTTAACCAGGCTATAAACTCATTAGTCAGTAAGAAAAAATAACTATAGAGAGCAGAATTTTGATAATATATGTAATATATTGCATATTAACCTGTTCTTCAATATTTAATGTTTTTAAAAAAAATTATAACAGCCACCATTTAAATGTTTATTTTTAAAAAACCAGTAGAAACATAATTATTATGCCATTAAAAAGTTATTATAACATTATTATTAAACTTCCTTGTGTATAATTTAAATGTACAAATCAGTAAATACCTTTAAATTATAGTTATGTACAAACTGGGGTTCCCTGTATTTGACAGCATTAGTTGCCATATACTGTATACATACTCCCAATTAATTGATATCGAATCTAATTGAATCAAAATGTGAATCGAATCAAATCGCAAGCTTGCGAATCGAAATCGAATTCAAATAAGGCAATTTGTGTCAATACCTAGAATTTCTGCTCTATTCACCCTTTAATGTCACCTAATAATAACAGTTATGCAGTCTGCATGGTTCAGTCTGGGTTTGAGTGGTGAATAAGTTAAATCAATGACTCTATTACCTTATTCACTGCTGACTCAAACCATGTGTCCTTGCTGTCTCTCTGTTCGACCGTATAGTCTACTCCGCCTTACAATTTCCAGATTAGTCTGTGGCTGTTGCCAGCATCAAGAGCAATGACCTGTCTGACAAAGTCAAAAGGATTTGTTTTACTGTTTATGTAACTGATCTTTATAGGTTCCTCGCATATCATGCTCAAAGGTTCAGCAGTTACAAATAGTGTGTGTCATAATGCTGTATTGTTGCTGAGGTAATTTCAGTATTATAAATCGTATGTTTGATGCGGGTGGTCAGTCTGTCCAACAGAGTTATTAAAACTCGAATTAGTTTTAGTGCGCACTTTTAAAACAAAATGTTCTTGCAACATTTACAAAGCCCGTCACCTGAAGGCAGTATTTAGATCTTACAGATTTGCAAATGCAAAGATGTCAGTAAGCCATCAGCATCAGTGAAGGACAAATAGGAACTTTCATTCAGCTGCTCCTAAAAACCCATGGTTTGTCAATGTGATTTCTGGGCAAGTTCATATTAAAATGCCTCCTTTATCCTTTGGAGCCCCTTATAAAGTCCAAACTGTCTGAGAGCAGGAAGGCAGGAGGAAGGTTTCTTAAAGTGTGACATGTTCCTGATATCACTGTTTCTGTACGACTCAGCACTTTTTGTCCATGCTTAAAGATTAGATTTCCCTTGAAGACTCATTTGAGCTGATTTCCTGACCATTGACTTTCTAATCCTCTGTTTCCCACCTTTATTAATGCAGCCTTCATATATTCACCTTTGGCCTCATTCCCTTTAGGACCAGTCTGTTTTACTGATCTCCTTCTGTTTGATTGTTCCAAATTAGCAGATTAATTTCTATTATGGCATTTTATTTTAATACCAGGGTCAAGAAGCAGCCTAGTGGAGAGGATGTCTTTTATATCTGACACCTCTACAATCATTCAACAGCAACTCACAAAATATCTTATAGAGGAACAGTGTGGTCAGCAGCACTCTACAAATGTTCCTCTGTTTGAAATCATTTCTGATATATTGAAAGTATATAGCATACTGCTACACTTTATTTATATTCTTGTTTGCTAATGAAGAGGTCTGGAACCTGATATACTGAAAGTAAATAGCATACTGATACACTTTCTTTATATTCCTGTTTGCTAATGAAGAGGTCTGGAACCCTGCCTAATTTATTACGCCCACAGGGCTTTAGTCCAAAAAGGCAAATGTATCCAAACTCAGGGCCAACGACTAAACAATGCCTGTCTCGTAAAGTGAAATTCTCCACTGAAATGGAAAAGAAGCTTTGTTAAAAGATTTGATTTCAAACAAATGTCACATAAATCAACTAGAAATTAACGCAAACCAGACGCAAACAACACAAGAATAATATACATGACCTTTCAAATACTTGGGGTCTGTGTACGATTTTTTGATGTTTGTGACAGAAGTCTCTTATGCTCTTCGGTATTTATTTGATCAAAATACATGAAAACTGTAATATTGTGAAATATTATTACAGTTTCAAATACCAGTTTTAAATTTCAACATAATTTAAAATGTCATTTATGATGGCAAATGAGTTTTCAGCATCATTACTTCAGTCTTCAGTGTCTTCAGAAATCATTCTAATATGCTGATTTGCTGCTCAAGAAACATTTATTATTATTATTATCAGTGTTGAAAACAGTTACTGCTTAATAGCTTTGTGAAAATCAATTTCTGATACATTTTTAATGCATTCTTGCTGAAAAAATATATCAGTTTCTTTATAAAGAAAAAAAAAACATACTGACCCAAATCTTACAAAAATCTTACCGACCAAGAATGATAGTATTTGGATTTACTGCAAGTACCATTCTTTGAGTTATATTTTGTCTCAAAATATATAGCCAGTTTCAGGGATTCACAGTTGCCACTTCTGCAGTATTGTAAAAATGATCTCATAATAAATCTGTACTAGGCATTGCATATGATGAGAGCTCATGATTCAGGAAGCTTCTGCTGTGCATGGCAGGCCAGACCCGTTGTCACCCTCACCACTGACTTCTTCAGTTCAGGTGCATCTGGATTTGCTTTTTCCCATTTATTGAAGGCATTGCACCAGTCATTCAAGTGCTTTCATTGATTCTGTGATGCTTGAGATTCTCTGATATTTAACTTTATCCCCATAGACTGTAAAAAAACTATGGACGTAGTGTCCGTGACATCATCAGTAGGTTTCTGAAGAGCATTTTTGAAGCCCAAAGTGGGCGGAGCCGGCCGTCGCCATCTTAGCAGCGCGTCACCGCACGTCACTCCCGGATAAACGAAAATGGGCAAAAAGGCGGGATAGCTAAGGTGACGTGACGGCTAACAGACAGCAGACAAACGGCTTGTAGTGACAGCAATGGCAATCCACCTGTCACGCCCTTAATTATGCAGAATTTAAGGCTTAATATAATTTAAACGGATGAGTTATAAAAAAATTCACCCCCCTCACAGTTGTCATGAAGGGCAAAATTAGCTATATAGACCAAAACCACTTTTTGTACCAGGCTGTAAAGATGTTTTTTTCTGCTATAAAGTTGGGCATTTTAACAAGGGGGGTATATGGGATTGACTCTCTTTTGGAGCCTGTCTCTAGTGGCCAGTCGATGAATTGCAGTTTAAGTCACTTCCGTGTTGGATTCAAGAGAGAGACCGGAATGTTGTCGCTTGTTTATCACACAGTTCCACATCTCACAACTCACTGTTTGCATCACTACAACTACCATCACTATAACGTGGATGTCAGTTCAGTGTATTGTCTATTTCATGCACCGCCAAAGTTTTTTGTCAAAGTTTTTCTCTCACTGTACATGGGTGTGATTCCCAGTGAGGTTTTATGCTAATGAGACTTTCAGCTATTTTAGTCTCGTTTCAATTCACTCCCTTTCTCCCGCTCTCTTCTGGGATTTATCTCTGAGTGTAACTGCAGGGTGTCAGGAACTCTCCAAGGATTCTTGCCTCTCTCAAGCCAGTATTTTTCCTCATAGATCACACAACCAACGATAGGCCCAAGATGGCCCAATTCCAATTAAGTGTCCTTCATGAATATGTATCTACTGCTTTTAAAACTGAAACCTGTCAGTTGGAGCTTATTCATAAACTTTGATATCTCATGTGAAAGTAATTCCCAGCATTCCATTAAATCATTGGTATGATTTACCACTGTCCTGTCTGTCTTGCAGGTTTCTGCTGGTGTTTTCCTGCCTGGTTCTGTCAGTGTTCGCCACGATCAAAGAATACAAGAAAAGCTCCGAGAGTGCCTTGTACATCCTGGTTTGTATCTGTTATTTGTTCAACGTGATTTACAGGAGGAAGCTGATTCATGGTAGTGATGATCTCAGGTTTTTATATCAAACACTTCAGACTTGTGTGTGCATGTTGTAGATACTGTAGATGTCAGTAGATCTTGTTCCACATTTTGGCAGAATGTGACAAGTAATAGGACGTTATCCAGTGCTGATGTGGATTGCTGTGAACATGACACTTTATAGATCTGTTTCTGTCAGTGTAACATTAGCCATCAAGCACGCACACAGTGCTCTTTTAACATAAAGAACCGTGGACATTGCTTGTATGTGTGTATTTTTGATGCATAACTATTGTACTACTTGGGCTCTTTATATTAATAAGTATTATTGCTACTTGTTTACGTTTTGTGACATGTATCTCATTTGTTAGTGAGGATGCTTATGTTATATTATATACTATATTATACTGTAGTCATGGCCTAATGGTTAGCGAGTCAGACTGCTAACCCACATATGGCAACAATACATATGTCAACTAGTGGATAAAGTTTTTGCTGTCTGTCTAGGAAATCGTGACAATCGTGGTGTTTGGCGTGGAATATATTGTGCGTATCTGGGCAGCCGGGTGTTGCTGTCGCTACAGAGGATGGAGAGGAAGGCTGAGATTTGCACGCAAACCCTTCTGTATCATCGGTTAGAAAATCATCTTCCGTTTTTTTTTCTGTTCTGATTTTATTCTCTAATGCATGTTTTCCTCCCTCTCTCTCTCTCTCTAAATCTCTCGCTATTTATCTGCTCAAGAGACAATAAAATCTGCTTTGCCAACTTCTTCTGGGGCAGTAAATGAGCAAAGGGGTTGGCACTCTCTGAATCACGACACTTGATATGCTGGATGCCAGCTACAGCTGAATAATGTGAACTCCATTAGTGCATTTGAAAGAATACATTATACCAGTAAATTTGAGACTGATCCTAGTCACATTACTAGAATAATTCACCTAAAAATGACAATTCTTTCAGCATTTAATCACCCTGATGTCAAACACAAATAGATAACATTCTTCAACATTTCTCTTTTGTTCTATTAAAAAAAGAAAGAGAGTGAGTAAATGTTGACAGAATAATACTTTTTGGGTGAACTTTGCCTTTAATGATCAGTTTGATTGGAAAGCCCATATAATGAATATCTATTTTCACAGCATCTCCGTTGAAAGACAAAACCCAGTTGTACTGTCATCATTCTTGAGAGCAGTGTTGGGCTGTGTTAATTACTAATTTTCCCTTGAAAAATAATTTTTAATTAATTTTTCTGCAATTTAATTAGTTACTTCTGATGTAATTGCATGAAATACTGTAGACAATAGAACATTTCTATATAAAACAATAGTGGATTTTAACATCAAAATTTAACATCTAATGTTAAACTGTTTTTTTAAAGTAACCATCTCCCTTTAAATACTATGGTCAGTTCAAGAACAATTTTATATTATTTATTTGAAAGAATAAAAGAGCAGTTTCATGTCTATCCTTTTGTTGTTCAACTGGTCTAGTTTGATATGGGATTTAGAAAGTAATTAGTAACGCAATACTTTTTAGAGAGAGTAAGTACAGTAATCTAATTACACCATTGAAGATGTAATTACTAGCTAGTAATTAATTACTTTTTTAGAGTAACACTGTAACCCAACACTGCTCGAGAGCATTATATGAAGGATAAGAAAGGAAGGTCAAATAAGAAAAAAGAAAAAGAAAAAAACATTTCCTTTCTAATGTATTCAAGAGTGACAGTCGTCTTGGGGGTTTCATCTGCTAACTAATGGACACCATGTTCTGCAGATATCATGGTGCTTTTTGCCTCAGTGTCTGTGCTGGCCGCTGGCTCGCAGGGGAATGTTTTTGCCACCTCCGCCATTCGGAGTCTGAGGTTTCTCCAGATCCTTCGAATGCTGCGTATGGACCGCCGAGGTGGCACATGGAAGCTCCTGGGATCTGTGGTGTACGCACACAGCAAGGTGACCAGTGACGTGCTTATTTTCTTACAAAACAATACAATACATTTTTCTGTTAAACACTCATGTATTGAGTGTGTGTAAATATGCATATGTATAGACAAATGTTTCATGTGTGTGGTTTACATATAAAATTGTACTCCTTGAACACAGAGATCGCAAAACTTCACGTTAAGTAAGTTACTGAGTGAGCATATTTCCACCAGTCTGCCATTTTAGTCAGTGGGCAGCAAATTTATTATTATTCATTAGTTTCTATTACTGGAAAAACGATCACTCCGTTTAGTCTGCAGCTATTAAAACTATTCAGTGGCCTTAAGCACCCCGTGAAATGGTTTAAAAATAAATGTATTTCTTGTATTGAGAGATTGGCTTTTGAATAGGAAATTGGGACAGGACATATTTAAAATAGTCGGTTGCACTTTATTTTATGTGTACTTACAGTGTACTTTCCTAAGAAAGTACTAGGTAATATAAGGTAACTACATGGGTTAAGGTTAGGTTTAGGGGTAGGTTTAGTGTTAGTACCTAGTTATTACACAGTTATTATAATAACTATAATTAGTATGTACACGGGGAACAGGACTGTAAAATAAAGTGCTACCAAGTGTCAAAGTGGACGTTATCATTCTAGAGAGCATTTTATTTAGCAAGAAATTTGAATATATGCCCCTGAAAACTGATAAGAAGTGAAAGATTATGTATTCATATTTGCTATGTTTTATTATTATTGTCAACTTTTAGAGACATATATACTACCGCTCAAAATTTTGGGTTCAGTAAGATTTTTTTTCTCCAAGAAATTAATACTTTTATTCAGCAAGAATGAATTAAATTGATGAAAAGTGACAGTAAAAGGCATTTATAATGTTTCAAAATAAATATTTTCAAACAAATGTTTTTAGAAGAATTAGCATGATTTCCACAAAAATATTAAGCAGGGCAACTGTTTTTAACATTGATGTGCAACATTAATAATAATAAATGTTTCTTGAGCATCAAATCAGCATATTAGAATGATTTCTGAAGAATTATGTGACACTAAAGACTGGAGTAATGATGTTGAAAAATCACAGAAATAAATTACATTTTAAATGATATTCTAAATATTAAATTTTTTCAATGTATTTTTTTTAATCAAATAAATCCATCGTTACTGAGCACAAGTGACTTCTATCAGAAACATTTAAAAAAATCTCACCGACCATGTAAATGTGTACATGGACTAAAAGGCATACAATATGTCTATAATCTTTAATGCCATTGCATGCAGTTAGCACGTTTTATTTTTGTTTAGGAGTGTATCACATGTTCTTAATTTTCATAACATTTTCAATCCCTAAATGTAGGAACTCATTACGGCGTGGTATATTGGATTCCTTTGTCTCATCCTGGCATCTTTCTTGGTGTACTCAGTGGAGAAGGATGACAATGCAGAGATGTTCGAGACTTACGCAGACGCCCTCTGGTGGGGACTGGTATGTGCCACAGCTTCATCCAAGCCCACAGTGGCCTGCTGACTCAATCTAATCAGATAAATAGACAAGATAAGATACACTGAAACAAGATGCTGTTCAAAGATCCATTTCACAAATGGATTAATGCCATAAAAGAACTCCTATTCGGCTCCTTTGGTACTAGATCATTTAACTCCAGAGTGAGTAATTGTAGACATTGTAGATATTCCTCTATAAACTGGTCTCAAGGACACAACAGGATCCCAACCTGGGATTGAACCTATAACTCTGCATGACCATCCTAGCCTTACTAGGTTGTGTTCTTAGTATATACTCATAGACTCTGTAGTAAAAATGCTGCTTTTTATTTAAAAAAATTCTATTCTTTAGATAACTCTTACAACTATCGGCTACGGGGACAAGTTTCCTATTACATGGAATGGGCGTCTGATTGCTGCCACCTTCAGTCTGATCGGTGTTGCTTTTTTCGCTCTTCCTGCTGTGAGTTAAAACTGAAATGACATGTTGAACCTCTCCAGTGCCTGGTTTTAGGTATTACTCACAGATTTTCTCTGCTGCAGGGTATCCTGGGCTCAGGTTTTGCTCTGAAGGTTCAAGAGCAGCACAGGCAGAAACATTTTCAGAAGCGCCGTAACCCTGCCGCACGTCTTATCCAGGTCAGACCCATAACTCTACTGTAATTCTCACCAGACACATTTAGAGGAAATCAACATAAAGGCTTGCCTGATGTCTATAAATGTGCTAACTAATAACTTTCAGTGTGGCCACTAATATCATATTTAGTTTATGTTAACTTTGCTGTTCAAACTGATAAATTGAGGATCATCTTTCTATTTTCAGTCTCATCTGGTTGATCTATGCTGCTTTTGATTTAGATGGCTAGAAATGTTGGTGGTTACTGTGTACAGTGATGTATTGTATACTGTAACTATGGAAGTCATTTGCGACCTTAGAAGTTTATTTGAATAATTCCCTTGCCCCCCATCAGGCTTCTTGGAGATTTTATGCCACAAACCTTGCGCGGACAGACCTAGTGTCCACGTGGGACTTTTATGAGCAGACTGTGTCAGTCCCAATGTACAGGTAGTCAGTCATCTTGCCTTTCTGTAGACCAATGTAACTGAAGATATTTTCATTTGTTTGTTAGTAGTACAGTTTTCTCTATATTAATTCTTAATTGTGCTTTTTTGGATATTTTTCCAACTTGTTTTAATAATAAAAAAACATCTTGAGCAGTTTATTGCGGTTTGATATGCTTTAAAAAAGTCTATTCTCTGTTCTACCTCTGCTTAAAGACTCATCCCTCCTGTGAATCAGCTGGACATTTTAAGAAGTTTGAAAGGAAAATCTGGTTTCAGGTCTGATCATTTTACTATAGAGCATTTTTTTATATTTAAATATCTATGTGAATAATAATATGATTATCATGTCTGGAATATACAGATGAGTCAAATGTCTGACCACATAATTAAAAAAAATTACTGGATATAATTAAAATTTTTAGGATTTTTAAACTTTTACAACAAAGAAAAGTTAATGACATGATACAATGCAAAAAAAAAACACTATTTCTAGGTCACTAATCAAGTAAATTTGTGTTTGATCATGTGACTCTTTGTATAGATGGTCAGATGTTTTTTGCTTCTATTGAAGCTCAAGCTGATATACAGGTCCTTCTCAAAAAATTAGCATATTGTGATAAAGTTCATTATTTTCCATAATGTAATGATAAAAATTAAACTTTCATATTTTTTAGATTCATTGCACACCAACTGAAATATTTCAGGTCTTTTATTGTTTTAATACTGATGATTTTGGCATACAGCTCATGAAAACCCAAAATTCCTGTCTCAAAAAATTAGCATATCATGAAAAGGGTCTCTAAACGAGCTATTAACCTAATCATCTTAATCAACTAATTAACTCTAAACACCTGCAAAAGATTCCTGAGGCTTTTATGGAAAATAATTAACTTTATCACAATATGCTAATTTTTTTAGAAGGACCTGTATATATATATATAAAGCTATTGAAGCTAAGATAATATAACTTGTAAACCTTGTAAAATGAATGGAAGAATTGTCTCTAGTGCTCTCAGACCTTTGGCCTATTTATGACTGTTATTCTTGTTTCAAATATTTGATCATAGTATTGCCTGCATTAATCTCATGTCTTAATTGCTTTCAACATCATGTTCTCTCTTTTTAAAGGAAGGACTCCCAGCCAGAAGTCACTCCAAGGTTTGTTGTCAAGGATTTTCCCATAGATACTTGACTATTCCCAGATCACCTCTATCAAAAACTCCTATTCACCTATTCTTGAGAATCGTAGTTTCAGTGCACCATCTTCGTCCTTCAAATGAGAAAACAGCTCATATTGCTGTTTTTTTTAAGTCATTTGAAATCACAAATGTTATTTAAAGACAACTTGGTTGCACTTTATACTACAGTATTTTCAAGTGGTATTTACAGGGAGATGAATTAGTCAATATCAAACTGACACAGCATAATCCGCACAGTTCAAAGATACTGTATTAATAGTGAAACATCTCATTAAAGAATACACACTTGAGGAGTTTTTTTTACTGTATCTACCCTGTAAAAGACCTGCTCTTGTAATCCTGTAATATCAAGTGCAATGTGTGACTCATCAATCAAACATATTCCTTCATTTCATTCAGTGTAAGAACACCTAGCTCAAACTCTGTAGGCTGTTTTGGTGGGTTTAGGGGGGAAATACCTCTCATTTCAGGTCCCACACTTGAACATGGCCTAAACCAATTTTGACCACTGCTTGTATAATCTTTTCTCTCTCATGAATCACTCCAACCACATTTGCAGTAGTGCGATTTCTCACAAAGACACCCTGTGTGGGTGCTGCCCAAGAAGCAATAGGTACCGTTGCACAAAGATACTAACATCTGCACGCCCAGATCTCTCTCCAAGCATTTGGATTTGCCCCCCACCCCCACCCCTCCCCCTCCCAGTGTGTACTATCATCAGCTCAAAGTTTTTGAGACATACTGTACATCATAGTGCACATTTGTATCGGTGTTGAAGTATTTTAATCTCCCGTCAGCTCAGGTGGGATGAGAAATGTTCTGCTCTCCAGCATCTAAAAATGTTGTCTTGTTCAAACCAGAGAAGCAGACATTTGTTTAGCTTTGTGAGAGATTTTTGCTTGCAGATCAACTTTCCAACTTAGCACCTGGAAGCACTTCCCATCCCTTTTTACCTCCATCCCACGAGACCACCCTCCTCTGCAAGCTGCCTTGAGTATTTTATGGGGTCTCTCTTTTTTTTTTTTTGATTTGGCTGCTTTTTTAAAGTTGCATAATAGAACTGTTGTGTATTTTTCAGCATGCCCGAAAACATGCATGTGTTTCATTGCTTTGTTGTTCAAAGTATCTGCTGTGGCATCATGTGGGTCTGCTGCATCCAGAAGTTTTTGCAGTGGATTGCATTGCATGACTGAGAAGCACCATTATCCATATCTTTGCCCATGTAAGTCTGATCTTTATTAAAATAGAAGAATGCAGAAATTACAAACTCTGTGTTTGCCAAGGAAAATGTGTTTTAATGTACAATGTTGTGAAATGCCTTTATAAATAATTTAATACTTAAATTAAGTATCTAATATTTACATGTTTCAGTAATTTTATTAATTAACATAACTGTCATTTTTAAGCACTTATCTGATTAATTAAACATTTGCTTCAGCTAAACATTTCTATAACGAGCTTGCATATCAGTAAATATGCAACTGTGTTGTTCTATTAAGAATTGAAATAGTTGAAATATGCAAACAAGCAAATGATATATCAATAGACAGTAATCAGCTATCTATTTATAAAAGTAAAATACAATAAGCATGTTTTTTTTAGCTGCTTCACCATTTATATTTGATTAAATCCATCACGAAAGGAATATTTTATTGCACTGCAAAAAATCATTTTCTTTAAGGTGCACTTAGTTTTTTTTTTTTTTGTGCTGGCCAATGTAGATTTATACTAATATTTAGTGACTTAAATGTAGCATCATGCAAAAGCAAATACATATATTTTTGTATATAATAGAATTGTATTTTATGCATAAATCTTTAAAGTCCCCCTGCAGTAAATAATTGTATCTCTTAAAACCCATCTTTGATAATCAAAAAAAAAAAAAAAAAATCTAACCATTTTGGTTAGGCTTGAATCTAACCACAGGAAATAATGGGTTCTCTTACGAGAGGTTCTCTCGTATTGCGTAAGCTAGCTTACGCTGCGGGAAAGATTCATCTTTGCTGAGATATTGAAGCCAAAAATTATTTCATAATTTGTATCCATACACAACGCAGTTCCTCTGCGGCAGACCTAGAGCAGGCTAGCTAGCAGCTCATTGGTTCGCTCAGAGAGAACTGCTTAAGCCTATGGGAGAGCGGGGCTGAACCCGCTTCCAATGAGAGGCGCCCGCGCGCTCATTGCGTCATGGCCCGCCAGAATGGGCGTGGCCATGGTGTATATAACAGTCTCTCCCAGGCTTATATGTTGATTCATTTCATCTTCAGCAAGCTGCACGCTTCTGCTGTCCTGAGAAAAGCCGTCGCCGTCGAAAAGGTATCACTCTAGCGAGCTCCCGGACCCTGAAGAAGCCGGCCGTCTTCGCCACCTTCAGCCGCCCTGCAAGCTAGCGCCATCCGACGACTGTATCCTTCTCTATTATATCTAAAAGAGCCGAGCGTCTTTTTAAAGATGTCTCGTTTTTCCTGCGGCTCTTGCCGCGCTCGTCTCGAGGACGGAGACCGCCATGTCATCTGCGCTCTCTGCCTGGGACTCGAGCACGCAGAACTCGCCCTCGCGGATGGAGGATGCGACTTCTGTGAGAGCCTGCCGTTGTCGTCCCTGCGGGCACGACTTCTGGCAGCAAAATCCGCTCCCGCGCCGCCTTCCTCTTCGCCGCGTAAGAAAAAACGCCGCTCCCAGAGGCCGCCGGAGCCCCCAGCGGAACAATGCGGCGCAGCGGAACAATGCGCCGCCTCCCGCTTCCCGCTCTCCCTCCCCGCCCCTGCCGGACATACAGTTGCCGCCGAGTGGCCGCTCTGTCGCTTCCGATGACGCCGCGGAGGAGAAGGACTCCTGTTCACTGCTCGCTTCTGACAGTGAAGAATGGTCATCTCTCGGATCCACGAGAGAATCGGCGGGGATCCGCGCCGGGATAGAGGAGGAACTAATGCGCCTCCTCTCACAGGCCGTCGAACGCCTCGGTCTCGAGTGGTCTCCTCCACCCGAGCAGGCCCCGAACCGGATGGACGGCAGCTTTTTTCATCGGCGCTCGACCCCCGCGTGCAACCGGGCCGCTCCATTCCTGCCTGAACTTCACGCAGAGCTGACGAAGTCCTGGAATGCCCCGCTCTCGGCTAGAAACCGCTCTGATATATCCGCCTCGCTGCGCTCGGTGGACGGAGCCGCCGAGAAAGGCTACTCAGCCATGCCGCCCGTCGAGGACTTGGTCGCCGCACACCTCTGCCCGCCCTCTGCTAGATGGCGCTCTTCCCCCACGCTTCCTTCGAAAGCTTGCAGAGCGACCTCGAGCTTTCATGCTCGCGCCTACGCCGCCGCCGGTCAGGCCGCCGCAGCGCTACATTCGATGTCTGTCCTCCAAGTATTACAGAGCGATATTCTCCGTGAGTGGGCCGAAGGCGGTAGAAACCCCTCCCCCGCTGTCACGGATCTGAGAAGTGCTACGGACCTCGCCCTTCGCGCCACTAAAGCCGCCGCACAAGCTCTGGGGAGATGCATGGCCAGCCTTTGTGTTGCCGAGAGACACTTATGGCTCACGCTCGCCGACATGGGAGATTCTGAGCGCGCCGCGTTTCTTAACGCGCCCCTCTCCCCGACGGGCCTTTTTGGATCTGCTGTCACGGGAATCGTCGATCGCTTTTCTGAGGTCCAGAAAGCTACTCAGGCGATTAATTTGTTTCTGCCCCGCCGCGCTAGCTCTTCCGCGGGCCGCTCTCGCGAGCCTCCTGCCAGAGCTCCACCACAGCGCCCCCCTCCGCAGACTCAAACAGCCCAGCGCAGACAGGGCGGCCGCCCTCGCTCTCGCTCTGACAGCCGCCGCAGACCGCCGCCCCCACGAGGCCCGCGACCTAAGATCACGCTGAAGCCTGATCATCAGAAGTCTGCCTAGCAAAGTCAAGAAAACGACGGTGCTCTCCCGCTGCGGCCGGACCGCCGTCAAAGCTTCGCCCTCTGTCAGTCCCCGTTATTTCGCCGACTGCTGTAGTGTTGACCGCCACAAACAAGCCGGTGTCCCAGCCCGCTTGCGAGCGACAAAAAGCCGTTTTTACGGCTACCAAGAGAAATCTCAAAAAGAGAAAATTTGCCAGTTGTGTAGAAAATGTGCCCACAATCATGTGCTCACCCATACACACAAGCATAACATACCCCGTGTCTCTATCAGAGCCCCATCACATGAAACGGGCACAGCCCGCTCTAATATCAGAGAACATAAACACGCCCACGAGCTCGTGCGCGTGTCCCCTCTCTGCTCGCTCTGTTTCACGGCCCATAGACTCCTCTCTGAGTGCAAATCCCGTTGCCACACACATTCAAAGCGCGCCCACACACTGTGTCCAGCCCGCTATGTGCAGCAATCAGGGCGATATAGCCATTCGGCCACTAGCCGCATGCTCCAAAGCGTGGGAAGCCATTCCAGGCATTTCCCCGTGGGTGCTAAGCATTATAAAGGACGGCTATCTGCTACAGTTTCGCCGCCGCCCGCCTCGTGCGCGCGCGCGGCTCGAATCTACTGTCAGCCCGTTCTCCCGTTCGGCTTATCTCTGGCGCCCCGCACATTTACGAAGTGCATGGATACGGCGCTCGCCCCCCTGAGGAGCCAGGGGCTGCGCATATTGAATTATCTGGACGACTGGCGGATTTTGGCCCAATCACAGACGGAGCTTCTGTCGCACCGCGCAGTTCTCCTCGACCATCTGAAAACGCTGGGCCTCTCTGTCAACTGGACAAAGAGCTCCCTTCAACCCAGTCAATCGATTTCCTTTCTAGGAATAGATTTGAACTCGGTCACGATGACGGCTCGCCTGTCTACACAGCGCGCGCGCAGTGTACAGCGACTGGCCGCCTCGTTTCAGATGGGCACCCGCTCACCTCTGAAAACTTTTCAGAGGATGCTGGGTTACATGGCCTCAGCCTCCGCTGTGCTTCAGCTGGGCCTTCTGCACATGCGTCCGCTTCAGCTTTGGTTAAACAGCCGTGTACCCCACCACGCGTGGAACACGGGCCGCCAGCTGATCAGAGTTACGCAGACATGTCTCACGGCGCTGCAGCCATGGACAGTAGCAGAATGGTTTCGACAGGGCGTCACGATGGGGACCTTTTCTCGCCGAAAAGTCATCTCGACAGATGCATCCAACACGGGTTGGGGTGCAGTCTGCGAGGGCTCACCGGCCTTCGGCCATTGGTCGACACAGGAAAGCCCCTTACACATAAACTGTCTGGAAATGCTTGCGGTCGAGAACGCGCTTTCGCGCTTCCTCCCGCTCATTCGGGGACACCACGTCCTGATCCGTTCGGACAACATGGCTGTGGTCTCCTATCTCAACCGTCAGGGCGGTGTCAGGTCCAGGAATCTCTTCCTACTGACACACCGCATTTTAGTTTGGTCTCAGAGCCGCCTGCTCTCGCTCAGAGCGACGCATGTGCCGGGCCATCTGAACGACGGCCCAGACATTCTGTCCAGGAACCTCATCTCCTCAGGAGAATGGTCCCTGAACACACAAACGGTCCAAATACCGTGGCGGCTATTCGGCAGAGCAGAGGTGGACCTCTTCGCGTCAGAAGAGAACGCTCACTGCCCAATATTTTTCTCAAGGAGCGAGGACGCGCTAGCCCAGGAATGGCCTCGCCGCCCGCTCTATGCATTCCCTCCGATCGCTCTGCTACCACAGGTAATTCAGAGGATCAGGGACACACGCCACTCGGTGCTCCTCATAGCCCCGCGTTGGGAGAGTCAGAATTGGGTTCCGGAGCTCACTCAGCTGTCGCAGACAGCCCCGTGGCCCATCCCAGTCAGAGCAGATCTCCTCTCTCAGGCTCGCGGCACGACCTGGCACCCCCATCCACGGCGCTGGGCGCTACATGCATGGGTGATCAACGACTATTCGTTGATTTGCCAGAAGGAGTAAGAAACACTATCATACAGGCTAGAGCACCTTCCACGAGAAGGCTCTATGCGTCTAAATGGTCTGTGTTCTCAAAATGGTGCACCGACAAACATCTGGACCCACGGTCATGCGAGGTGCCGTCTTTGCTTGTTTTCCTTCAAGAGATGCTGGACAAGGGCAGGTCCCCCTCCACTCTCAAGGTTTACGTGGCAGCCGTCGCGGCGTTCTCTGAACCCCGACGCGCTCAGTCCCTGGGCAAAGACGAGTTAGTCATCCGCTTCCTCAGGGGAGCTAAGAGGATGAACCCTCCGCGCCCCCCTTCGGTTCCTATCTGGGATCTTTCTATAGTTCTCGAAGCTATGAAAGCACCCCCGTTCGAACCGCTCGAGTCTGTGGACCTAAAATACCTCTCGCTCAAAACCGTTTTTCTGACGGCTCTGTCCTCAGTAAAACGCGTGGGGGATCTTCACGCGCTCTCATCCAGCGCCGCGTGTCTCGAGTTTGGTCCGAATGATTCTGTTGTCATTCTCAAACCTAGACATGGCTATGTCCCGAAGGCGATTGGTACCCCGTTCAGGGCTCAGATTATTTCCCTATCGGCTCTGCCTTCATCCGATAGTGAGCGCGACGCCAATCTCCTCTGCCCGGTGCGGGCTCTGAGATTGTACACTATGCGCGCTGCCGCGTTCAGACGCGCTGAGCAGCTTTTCGTGTCGTTTGGGGGGCGCACCAAAGGTCTGGCCGCCTCTAAACAGACACTGTCTAGATGGATAGTAGACGCTATCGCCTCTGCTTACGCATCTAAATGCCTGCCCTGCCCTCTGGGCATCAGGGCGCACTCCACTAGAGGCATGGCCTCATCGTGGGCATGGTCCTGTGGAATTTCCATTCATGACATTTGTGTGGCGGCGGGATGGGCCTCCCCGTCCACTTTTGTCAGATTTTACAACTTGGAAGTTCCCGCCTTGCAGGCAAAATTACTAGCTGTCTAACGACCAGCTCCCTAAGAAGCTGCATTACTGGGAGTCCCTCACACAACCGGTTCGCCCCTTGTGCTCTCCTTAAATGCTTATACACTTCATGTGCCCGCTCTGCCGGCCTCATACATGCTTATGTATACACTTCATGTGCCCGCTCTGCCGGCCTCATAATACATTCACTCCACGTTAAAAATCCCCCGGTATCACCCTGGGATTCATGAGTGGATTCATAGCGCGCACGGCGTTGACCAGGTGTTCCCGCAGCGTAAGCTAGCTTACGCAATACGAGAGAACCTCTCGTAAGAGAACGAATCGGTTACCTAACGTAACCTCGGTTCTCTCTAGAAGAGGGAACGAGTATTGCGTTCCCGGCCGTGCTTGCGCTACTAGCGTTTCGCTTCACGCTGAAATAAATCAACATATAAGCCTGGGAGAGACTGTTATATACACCATGGCCACGCCCATTCTGGCGGGCCATGACGCAATGAGCGCGCGGGCGCCTCTCATTGGAAGCGGGTTCAGCCCCGCTCTCCCATAGGCTTAAGCAGTTCTCTCTGAGCGAACCAATGAGCTGCTAGCTAGCCTGCTCTAGGTCTGCCGCAGAGGAACTGCGTTGTGTATGGATACAAATTATGAAATAATTTTTGGCTTCAATATCTCAGCAAAGATGAATCTTTCCCGCAGCGTAAGCTAGCTTACGCAATACTCGTTCCCTCTTCTAGAGAGAACCGAGGTTACGTTAGGTAACCGATTCGTTAATCCCGCCATATATGTTTGTACCAGACACTGATTCGGAAGAGGAAGAGCTCTCTACAACATCAGACACATAATGGTAATTGATATGATAAGCCTTTGGCTTGACTAAGTTATCAAACAGCTAATAATGTGCTGCTAATGTATCACAAACAACGTTTCCGTTCGCCATCTCAAAAAATCAGCATCTTTAGAAACACTTCAAACGTCATAGAGAGTCAGTGGAGAAAAGTCCCGCACGTTGACTGGATTAATTACATGTTTGTGATGGTAGGAAATAGGGCGGCTTCAAACTACGTTTTTGAGACTGTCTTTGGTTCACTGCAGTTTTAAGGAGAACATAATCAGCAATGGTGTTGACTGGTGAATTTGCACATGGTTTGTCTTAAAGCATATTAAAAACATTACATAGACATATAAACGACATTAAAAACGTGATTTTCACCACAGGGCGGGCGGATGTAAGAAAATATGTGAGGTTTGTTCTTAAAACAAAAATGTCAATGAGAGTTAGACATTTTAGAAAATGTATACTGGAAAATACAAAAATAGAGAATAAAGAAAATTACTTTTTTTGCAGTGTATGGTCATTGATATATAAGTTACTGTGTATTCTCTCTCTAGCACTGGATGGTTTCAGGGATTATTTCTGTCCCACACTAAAACAGACACCTATAAGTGTGGGCTCAGGATGAATTGTCTGTTTCCTTTGCTTTTTTGTTTGTCTTCTGTGCTTCATTGTGTCCGCTGTGCAGTCGTAAGCCCAGCTTAAAAGAGAAAGGCAGTCCCTCTAAGAGCACCGGGGGAAAGGAAACCAAGACCCTCAAGACAGAGGACGGAGTTAAAGAGAGTCAAAGCAAAGTGACCAAGAGCTTGAGCTTCACAGCAAAACACGCTTTCAGAATGAAAGATGGAGCTTCTCGGCAGAACTCTGAAGGTCAGAGAATGTTATTATGTGCACACATGGGACTATTGGGATTTCCACTGTTATACACTGCAAGATATATACTGCTTCCAAATTGTTGCATTCACCAGTATACTCACTTACAATACTCACTTTGCATATCTTGCTTTTTCTTCCTTTGATGTTGAAGTTTAAGGATTCAGAGTGGATAGTTTTTAATTATCTGGCACAGAAACAGATGCCACTCCGGATTGCTTAATGTGTCGTAGCAGAAAAGATGATGTCAGTGACACTCCATTCATTAGAGTTTATAAGACAGCAGGTGCAGTTTTCTATTTAAAGTAACAGCCCGCCAGAAAGACTGATCTGTATTTCGTAAGGTTCATGGGTTCGGTCCCATTGCTGAAACACATGAAAGTGACGTAATGTTTCAAAACATATTGTTTGAGTCCACAGAGAATTGCAGTGGAACATTGTAGTCTGGTTTGAAGATGTTTGTTGATTTGTGGCTTTGCAGTGGCAGTAACTATGGTTTGCATCTTTCCTTTTACAAATACATTAATAGGAGAAGGTTTATATGCTCTTAAGATGCTTGATCCCCACAAAATATTTCATTTATGGTGAAAATGCTTTGGGGGGAATTCACTAAGAATGAATTGCGTCTTCTGATAGTGTGTTTATTTGCACATGCCACCGTATTTGCATTGTTTAGTTTCCGATTCACTACAGGAACTATGCAAATCAGATTTTATGCTAAATTCAATTTTCACTGCAGCAATTTCTGGTTTACAAAGAAGCATGTTTGCCCTAGGAAGAATGACAATTAAACTGGATTATGGGTGGTTAGTGAATGAGAAGTAGTTTTTTGCATTGAAATACTGTTAGCTAAAGTGTCACAGTTGATTAGTGAATTCACCCCTTTGTGTTTCTCTCATCGTCTGTTTTATGCTCTTGGCATAACTCTGCGGTGCTCAACTTCAAAATATATATAAATTGATCCATTTTATGTATTTCACTTCCTGCACACTCATCAGTTTCTCTCTCATTTCTCTCTACTGGAAAAAAAAATAAAGTGCTGATTGAGTTGCAAGACGAGGACTTCGCCATGAAGAGTTCTCCAGGTTAGGCCACGATCCAGAAATATGATCCAAAAAGCAAAGAAATGACAGAGCAGTTTCTCTCAGAAGTAGACTATATATAATCAGAATCTGTAAAGCGTGATGCAGCGATCACTCTCTCGAAAAGGTTAGAGATGGCAGAAATGACAAGCTATTACGCTTGATAAATCACAAACAACAGCATCACAGACCTTAGCTTAGTGAGTTCAAATAAATAAATGATGTAGCAGTGTCACTACAGCATACATATTAGAAACAGGCGTCACTTCCAGTGTCGTACCATTTGACTTTCCATGAATAGGGTTCAAAATAGGTCAAACTAAATATTCTTGTTCTGGTCAATATCTGTAATGTTTCCCTGTTTTGTAACCCTGTTATTAAAAAATCTGATGGGTGCTTTTGTTATTTACTAAAAATGACTAGTAGAAATGAAAATAAATAAATAGTGATAAATATGCTAGAATGAGCAACTGGTGAAATAACAGAGTTGCAAATTTATCTTGTATTTATATATTATATATTAAATAATGAAAGTATTTTCTTCATCATGGGTTTAATGGTTGAGCGTGAAGTCTAAAATTGAGAAAAACATGAATAATTCTTTTCACCATGCTGTAGAGATGTTTTATAAAATATTTCTTCGATAACCTAAAATGAAATGTTATGTTTTGTGGGAATAGAAAGAAATATTTATTGCAATATAGTAATAATTTAAAATAATTAAAAAATGTTCTTTACTACAGCGCATTGAATATAAAATTCAACAGATTTCTTCAAAATTATGACATATTTTAGATCATTTAATTGTAACGTTTACAGGTCAAAATCACTATTTTAAGGGAGGTATGCAGACAGTTTATGTATTTAAAACAATCTACTTTTTACGCTACGTTAATTCTGTTACATGATAGTTCCTCTAATAGTCCTCACAACAAAAGTGTCATGAGTCGTCGGTCAGTACCGTTTCCATGGAAAGTGCCTTATGATGTGAAAGCAAATCTTCCCCAATCATAATGTAGCATAAGCCTAATATAAGCAACACCATGTGTTATACAGTTGCATGATTAAAGCCATTGTCATCTTTGACCATCTCTCTCTCATTTCTCTTTATTTCTCTATTTCTTTATCTCTCTATCTTTCACATTTGATCTCTTTTTTCTCTTCACATTTTGGCAGCGATTGAGGGCTTAATCAGTAAGACAAATTATGTTGTCTGGGGCTGCATCTCTTTAGCACTAGTCCAAAAAAACCTCAACACCAGTCTGCTAAAGAAACACTATGCATGCTCCTTAATTATCGAGCTGCTGCATATCTTCACAGATCTGCCTATCATCCAACACTCTCTGTCATGAACGCTTGGCTGAAAGTTTCATCTCACTTGAAGCATCACACAAAATATGAATTTCTTTTCTGATGCTTGGATAGTTTTTACAGCAGCTGTATTAGCCTTATCTGTCACCCATGACAGTGAAGTGCACTAGCAGATCAAAGCTAACGTTACTATTTGTCTCAGCCTGGATCTATTTCTCATCCCATGACAGAATGTGTTCCATGAAGGTGTTAATGAAACACTTTGCAACTTACACTTTCCATCTTTGCACTAACCTGCATGAAGAAATTTCTCAGCTTATTAAGGAAACAAGTTTGTTCCCAGAAATCGGTCTTGTGCAGTTTCGACTAGTTGGTTATGTCATTTGAATAGGATTTTGCTTTTTCGGCTGTCACGTCCTTATTCATATGGCATGAGGATGACACATGTAGTACTAATATTTAAGCTTTTTTTTTGTCCTAGTTTTTCATAGGGGTTGAAATTTGCCCGATTGCTATATTTTGTTAGGTGCACAAAAGTTTCTCTCACATGTGCTATCGCGCTAAATGCTCAGACTAGCAGGTTCTGGTAAGTGCTTCATGCATGAGTAAAACTATTGTTTCAGCTCCAAATGCACATAGAAACATAAAAGCATGTCTGAAGCTTCTGTCAAAAAAGACTAATGCTGACAAAGTGATCCTGAGATTAGGAGTGCTATCAGTTTTAGAAATTTGACTTCTGAAGCGTGGAATAAAAAAAATCTCACTTGTCATAAACAGTAGGATTGACTTTTTTCCAAAGTGTGTCTAATGTGTGATTTAATTGTGCCTTACTAAAATACATGCATAAGGAATAGTTCTCACAAAAATAAAAATTGTCAAAATTTACTCACCCTCATGTTGTTCCAAACCTGTATGATAATCTATGATGGGTTTTAATCTAGCAATATATCATGAGCAAATGTACTGAATTTCAGCATAGCTGTGCATAGCATACCTGCAACCTCATTCCTACGGCTGAAATAGTCATGCTAAAATTCAGAACAGCATCATTTGCATGCGTGATATCGATTTTATACAACAGTTCTGTAAAAAGGATATTATTTCGAGTTATGAAAAAGCACACAACACTGCTTTCACTCCACACCTCTCACATACTCTGGTTTGGAACGCCAGGGATGCAGACACGCAGAGTGATTCTAACAGTGAAAAGTCCAAGTGCTGTTTGACTAAATATCACTCTTGGAACTCTGCTTGGCCAATCAAATTCAAGGACTGGAACTAACTGTTGTATAATGTGAAGCACCTTAGCAGTTTATCGAGCATGTCTGCCATGGCAGATGATTTCTGTAATCTTTCATCTTGTCAAATGGCTGTTCATAGTTAACATTAGGACTCTTTACATTGGGAGCAGCCTGTGCATTTGTGTGTTGTAGAGGCGAGCCTTCCAGAGGAGCTTGGGGACGACAGGGGTTTCAACTGCGAGTTTGTGCCGGATCTGTCTCCGGGACTCAAGGTCACCATCAGAGCAATCTGGTAAGACACATTTATCGCCCGACTAAAACAAATTAGGTTTGTACATTTTTGGTTTCACAACAACTAATTTAAAAAACAAAATAAAACTAAATGTGATTTTTTAAAATAATTAAATACTTTTTAAATGGATAAATGATTTATAATTATTTTAAAAACTGAAAATAGTCATTTATCTGCTGGGACAGTCAAATGTTTATTAAATTAGGTAGTTATTGCTCTGTTACATTAACTTTTCTGTCTTCCCCAGTATTATGCGGTTCCTGGTGTCTAAGAGGAGATTTAAAGAGAGCCTCAGGCCCTATGACGTGATGGATGTGATTGAGCAGTATTCAGCCGGCCATCTGGACATGCTGTCACGCATCAAAAACCTTCAGTCCAGGCAAGACTTTAGTTCGTAAAGAACAAAAGAACCACATCACAAAGTTTTCACCATTACGGTGACCCTCTAACAATGACACGATCCACCTGTTTCAGTATCAATCAGTATTTGTCAAGAGCTGTAGCTGGATTGTTGGCTGCAACCTCTGGTGGTCACTGTTTGGTATTGAAGAAAGATTAAAAAAATTTGCAGAAAGATACTTTAACACTGCTTGATCAAAATCACATTCACAGTGGTTGTTTTCTGTGTCACATCCAAAATGATTTGAATTCAGATTCACTCCTTTCCTCTCAAATAAGCCTCATATATGTTGTGAAATAGCATCCACACATATACCAATATATTCCAACAGCAAAAACCATTTCTATCATACATGGAAACATGAAACACTCTTCTTAGAAGTGGGTGAGAACAGACATGTATGGAATATATTCTTTCTTATTTGTCGACGGTCCTCGCTGGGGTATATGGAATGGTTCCCATGTGTTGCTTGATGATGCTTGGTATCCATGTTCTCTCTGTGTGCTTTGCCAGGATAGATTTGATTGTGGGTCCCCCTCCCCCCTCGACCCCTCGTCACAAGAAGTACGTAATCAATTCACCAATGGCCTTCCCAGGCTGAATGGGTTTATTATTGGACAGCATAGTATAAAACTACAATTGTATAATGTCAAAGAGTCAAAGAAAAACATGAGGAGAAACTTGTCGATAACTGGTAGGATTGTTAACTGGATATTCTACGTTCACATTGAGAAAGAATTGCATTTTGGATGGGTGTAAGTATCCATAATTACTTGAATGCTTCAGAATTTAGCTTTAGAATTTATCAAAAGTTAATTTATAAAATTATATATATATTAAAAAATTGTCTTTATGCTGTGCAATATTACTCATGGTGTGACTATGCAGCCTGCTTACCGGGGGACTGATGCAATTGTGCATGATGTTCCAGGGTTCAAAAAAGAGAGAATAACTAAAATGTACAGTGTTTAAAACACAAAGCATCATAAGGCATGGAACCAGGTGACATTGTGAATAAATTTTCATTTATTACCCCACATTTTTTATTATACAAATTCATTGTCATTTGTATGTTTGCCAATCAGTGTTGGGGAAGATGATGCTTTTTATTTTAAAGGCCCTGATATACTCATGGCAAAGTTTTTTTTTTTTCTTCGTTCTTTGTTTAGGGGTAAAACGAAGTTCTAAATACGTGAGCAGCGATATACTGTAAGTGAACATCCGAAGCCACCCATGCTGAGACGGCGTTTAGATGAATATGTAAATATGTGCTGCGCGCTTTCCTCTCAACAACAAAATAAACACGCAACAAAATTGAGAAAGCAGAAAGCATTTTTTTAATAAAGCATAAGAAAAGCATCTGATCATTGCAACGTGGTTTACACTTGATAGATAGAGCCGTTTAGGACAAACTGGTTCAAAAAAATTCTGATTCACTAGAATGAATTAATCAGATTTTCCCCTCTGAAATTTGTTGTTAAATTAGCCGTTTCTTTATTTTTAGTTAGTTACTCCCCAACACTGCTGCCACTAACTTTGCAGAGAAAGACTCAGATGTGTTTTCATGCAGTAATGTGAGCGTTCATCTCAGTGCAATGCTGCAGCACATCTTTGTTTGAAAGATTCATCTTTTTGAAGACCCTGATGAATGCATGCTGATTAACAACTATGCAGTATGGCATGCAGCATGCAATATCACATATATTCACTTTCAGCAAATCAAGCTTCAATTCATTTTCTTCCCTATGATTTAAACCCCGCTGTCCTATGTTTGCATTCGCATGGTCAAGTTCTCCTCCATAAAGCTAATTTCTGTTAACTTGACAAGGTACAGTGCACAGTTAACCACTGAATCTCAGTGTGAATGAGGGCGTATTGACTATGTGTCGAAGTGATGGTCTATTGGATCACTAGAGTGGATCAGATTGTGGGAAAAGGAGGCGGGACAGGAGAAAAGGACAAACCCAAAAGCGACACAGAGATGGCTGAGGACCAGAGCATGATGGGACGTCTGAACAAGATGGAGAAACAGGTGAACCACATTGTGTCAAGTTCATTCGATGTGGTTGTATAGCCCCATATATGTTAGTGCTGAAGAGTCCGGTTGTCTCTCCTTGTGCAGGTGGGTGCAATGGACCTCAAACTCAACTTTTTGGTCAGCGTGTATACAACGCAAATGGGCATCCCGCGATCTGAGACCGAAGCTCTCCTGGGCTTTAAAATCCCTTACCCTGCTCCTCCTTACCACAGCCCTGACGATAAGAGCGAGAAAGCACAGAACGAGGACGAGGATAAAAACAAGAGCGGGTCCCCTGTCCATCCTGGTCCCAACAGGACTCCCACAGACAGCCAGTGTCGGCCCTCTACCTCGTGGCACCAGCAGGAAGAACATCCCCTCAGCGTGCCTCTCTGGAACAACAGCCGAGGAGTGTCACCGATAGGCACCGACGACCCCTCACTGTACCGCCTCCCGCCTCCACCGTTCCACGAGAGCGGTGACAACAGCCGCTCGCGCAGGTCCAGGAGACCCATCCAGCAGCAGGCAGCCGTCGAGAGTGACACGTCTCTGTCCATTCCCTCGGTGGACCATGAGGAACTAGACCGCTCTTTTAGTGGCTTTAGCATTTCTCAGGCCAGAGAAGGGGAATATGTGCCTCCGGTGGGTCTGGGGCTTTTTGGTGGAGGAGGCGGGACGCTGTGCACCCGTCTCAGGCCTTACCTGGCCGAGGGGGAGTCAGATACGGACTCCGACCTGTATACGCCCGGAGCACCGTCACCTCTCTCGTTTACAGGAGAGGGGCCTTTCGGTGACAGGATGTGGCCCGGTCTGAAGTAGTTTTGAATTTATGTTGTGCAGACCAGTGTCCTGGATGTAGCAGATGGACATGTATGTGGCCATTTAAAACTGTCGGAAAAACACACGTGGGAATGATTACTGATGCAACATCAGCAAGAACGAATCATGAACTTTGCGATTTAAAAAAGACCCCAAACAAGGAGGCTGAGGATATGTGCGTTCACAAGCGGAAAAGATTGTGTGTATTCAATTACCGGCATGGATCTTACTCGAATCAAACAAGGCACCTCTTCTTTATAGTTTGCGTAGTCACCACAGCTAATGCACTTTACCTTACAACTGTAATTTTGATTCACAAGATATTTATTTATTTACATTGTCTTTTCTGAAATGCGATATAAGACTGTTATGCGAAACGAGTAGTTAATCAGGGCATGTGTTCGTAGTAAGCATTTAATGAACATTATAAATCGAAAGGTTCCAATGAAGAAAATAATCTCAGCCAAAGAAAACGACGACAGAAAGCTGAGCATGCCTTACAGGTACTTTTCCCCTCTTACATTTCTTATCTGAAGGGTTGAAAGATGAATTAATTTGTATAGCTACTTTTAAAGTCCAAGCACTCACAGAGAGAGGCGTGCTTTTTGAGGAACTAATAATTTTTCCAGAAACCCTGGTGATTGTTAAAGGAGAAATATCCATGCTATTGTATGCAATCGGTTTTAATTTTCTAGAATTTGGTAACTTGCACTAAGAAATCATATTTTATGCTGTAGTGAAGAAGGCACTGGATAATAATCAGACCTAAAAATACACTAACTGCATGGCATGTTTATGGAATATAGCTTGCTGACAACCTAACAGGATGACAATTGAGATTAGAAAGAAATAGCAATAAAAGAATGTCGCATTAACTGCAGTCAGATATAGTCAGGGATAAAGGAATGTATCAAATGTATTTATTTATGTTTTGCTTTTTTTTTTTCAGGTCAGTTTTATTTGAAAGCACTTGTTTGTACAAGGTGTCCTGTAGGGGCAAGAGACCATGTACATCTGCAAATGTATCACTTTTCCTAGTAAAACGGAAGATGATTAAATCTATCTAAATGTGGTTTACATAAAAAAACAGAGATTACCATGTTAAAAGACATAAACATTTTTTAAAAAGCTGTATTTCAAAGCGCTGTTCAAACATTACAATATTAGGTTGCATCCTGTAAGGAAATAAAGTTGGTCTTATCTCAATTTGCTTGCTTGTCTGTTTCATGACATTTTGCATGGTCTTGTGCAATGATTTCTTTATCATAATGCAGAGGCCTTGACTTATTTTGTGTTTTGAATCATGTTTAATATCCAAAATCCATGTGAATTCAGTAGATCCAGTCCAAGCTGTCTGTGGCCCAGCAGTAAGACAGCAGCCCCACCATTGTCGCTAGACTCACTGCTAACACTGACCGCAGCAGGACAACACACTGTAGAGAGATCAAGACAGATTGGTGTTATTAGTAATGACTTACTATTCAAAGTTATTGTCATTTCTGGATGCTGATTCAAGTGCTGTAACTTGCATTGTACATTAATAATGGCATTGCTATATAATAAATGTTTACACCATTGGACATGACTTATATGTACCATGAGCATGTTGTCTCCTGCTTTTAGATTATGGAAGGCACGTCCGGTTTGGGGTAGTTCCACTCAAAAATATTGAATCAAATCATAAGGTTGCGCTACAAATATTCCTTATCCAATAGCCTACTGCACATTTGTGGTCTAATAAATGAATAATAACTCATTATCTCTCTTTTTCTCCTCAAATCCTCATGTCTCTTTCCAGGTTTGTTTTCACACGGATGCTTTAAAATGTGAGTGTTTACTGGAATGTTTCCAAAGCAGGTATGCAATATTTATTATCTGTCAAAATGACGGAAATCACTCACTTAAAATATCACTCAATGTTCCAGTTAAGATTTTTTTTTGGATTAAGGCAAAATATGTTACATAATACAGACATCTGTTATAACTACAGTGATATTTAACACGTCCGTAATATTGCTGCAAAAATAATCAAGCTTTTGGGGATAATCGAGCATTCATCTGTTGCTCCCAAAATTTTTGCAAGTTACTCCCATGATTTATGCAAAGCGTCATGGGGCGTAGTAGGAAACCGGCGATATGTTTTAAGGACAAAAGAGCTTTTTTCTAACCTGTCTCCATATAAAAAAATGGAACCTCAAATATATGAGCGTTTTATCTTTATTGTTATGCTGTTTTTTTTAATATACATATATTTTCTTCAATTCACGCGAGTTTATACTTACCTTATTTCTTTTGGGGTGTTCCTTCAGCTGCTTGCCTGCCTTTTGTAACCCCTTTGGTAAAACTTTGTACCTTCCTGCGTATAAACGTCTCTCATGTGGTTCATCAGAATCACTTTGGTCCTGAATCGTGGAGAGCTGATGATGTGAGATTATTATTATTTGATTATTGTGTTGTATGCTTGATGATCTGATGTTCTCACCTCAGTCTTCTGGACATTGGCAGTGTCATCTTCTGAGTTTGATTCATGTTCACTGCTGCAAGGCAATATAAAATAGAAATTGACCATTCTAAAAAATGAATGAAATTTAAAAATGAATAAAATCCATCTTACCTATCATTATCTTCCTCATTTTGAGAAGATCCTTGATCCAACCTAAACATTACCCTGTGGGTCCTGTCTGTTACTTTTGAGAGAGAAATGTGCACTTTACTTATTTATGTATTCATTCATTCATTTGTTTATTTATTCATTTGTTTGTTCGTTCATTCATTCATTCATTCATTCATTCATTCATTCATTCATTCAGCATTTTTATCTGAACCCATGTCCTTGATGCTAGTGTCATGTGTAACAGTTGAGCTACAGCAACAACAACAACAACAAAATTTAAAATAACTATTTTATTACAAATTTATTCCTGTGATGCAAATCTGAATTTTCAACATCATTACTCCAGTCTTTAGTGTCACATGATCCTTAAGGGTTAGTTCACCCAAAAATTAAAATTCTGTCAGTAATTACTCACTCTCATGTTGTTCCAACCCCGTAAGACTTTCGTTCATCTTCAGAACACAAATTTAGATTTTTTGATGAAATCTGAGAGCTGGCTCACTCCTCCATAGGCTGCTAGGTAATTTCATCTGCCTGACAGAATTTTCATTTTTGGGTAAACTAACCCTTTAAGAAATCATTCTAATATGCGGATTTGATGGCTAAGAAACATTTCATATTATTATCAATGTTGAAAACCATTAATATTACAGTTAATATATTAACTTCTTGATATTTTTGTAGGAACAGTGATACTTTTTTTTAGGATTCTTTGACGAATATAAAGTTTAAAAGAACAGCATTTATTTGAAATATAAATCTTTTGTAATACCTTAAATTACTGTCACTTTTGATTAATTTAATCCCCTGCTAAATAAAAGTATTCATTTCTAATTAAAATCTTGCTGACCCCAATTTTTTTCAACAGTATTGCAATTTCGATAAAACATTTAAGCACTTACCCTCTTTTTGCTTTTCTTTTACAGACTCTTCGTAGTATCTGTCAACTCTCGCTTGTTCCTGCTCCATGTCCCTCTCTATTTCATTTTTCAGCTTCTCCAAGAAATCATCCTGATCATCCTGATCATCACAGATCGCCTTACTTGAGTTCATTTTATAGAGCTCTTCTACATTAATGTCATGGTCATATTCATCAAAATTCATGTCCTCATCCATTCTCATCCTCATCCATCCACATCCATCCTCTTCTGTTATATTCAGAAGAGTGCTGAAATTTTCAGTGTATGAAATTTCTGAGGGTTCATGGCTGTCTTCCCTGTTGCTTTGTTCTTTTTTGACTGAACTGGACTCTGGAGACTGCAAATCACTGATGCAACCTTTTGTGCTCAGTTCCTCTTCACTGCTGTGTGACAAATCACATGCCAATCAAATATATGAGCTTGTATGTTGCACTAAAGTCTAAGATATATATATATATATATATATATATATATATATATATATATATATATATATATATATATATATATATATATATATATATATGTTATGCAAAACACTTTACTTTTGAAGTAAAGAATCAAACTTTGAAATCTGTTTTACCTGTCACTATCCACTTCATAAAGAGAGGATTCTAGATCCAAACAAAACGTCACTTTGTGGATTCTACCTGTTGTAGTTGTTGGGAAAGAATTGATCCAGTAGTAAGGTAAAATTCATTTATAAAATTCCTAATAAAAATGTCATTCATCATGGTATTGCTTTATGCCCTTAAGTTGGTTCACAAATAAGAATTTACCTTTGTTTTCCTCGCCTTCAGCGGGCTGGTAGAATCTGTTAAATGCCTCAATTCTTGCTTTTTCTTTCTCCCAGTCCCCCTTGGTCTCCTCCTCCTCCTCATTCTCCAGCTCGTCCTGAAAATAGTCCTCTTCATCACATATCACTTCTTTTTCATTAATGTCCCAGTCATATTCGTCAAGCTCCAGGTTGTGATCATCCATCAAGTTCAAAAATGTCCCAGGTAGCAAAGTGTTGATATTTTCACCAATGTCTGAAACTTCTGAGTGTTCACTGTTATCATGTTCTTTGTTGTTCTTGGCCTCTAGTGGATGTGACTCACTCACACTTCTGTTTTCAGATGAGTATGTCTCAGAAGATCCTTCCATTCCTCCTTTAGGAGATGCTGGATTGCTTGAAAAATGTATATCACACACCTCTTTCTGACTATCTGTGACCACCACATCCTCTATTTCATGTTCAATGCTGTTCCGATCTCTTGCAAAGTCTTTCATGAAGTTAAGCTTTTGTTTCATGTCAGCTGGTTTTTTTTCCTCCAAGATTGAATGGGAAGTGAAATCAGGGTTTTCTTCTTGGCTCTTGCAGTATTCACCATCACTGCTGATATCACTATCATAGTCAGGCTGCTCAGTCATGTAAGATTCACTGGAATTAGATTGGAAATTCGCAGAGATGCCAAAATCAGAACTTTCCCCAGTGTTTGAAATCTCACTGTTATATTCGTCATTTCTAATACTGTCCTGCTTTGTCTGGAACAATATGTCATCATCAGATTTCCCAGGTGTCTCCACATTCAGATCCTTGACATAAGTGAGCATGTCTACAGGATCCATACATCCATCTTTCATTTGAACATCATCATTCCTTGAAGTTACAACTTTGTAATTCAGTGGAGGTTCTTCTAGGTTCTTCATCTCATAGGAACAACCCAGGTCTACAACCTGCACCTGAGCCAGCTTGGAGTCCATGTGATTGGGTTGTCCACCCTCATGACCCTTACTGCTGTCCCCACTATCACTTTGAGACAAATCAGAGGGGTACTCTGCTAAACTTTCCTCTTCTCTTTCATGATCTTCATGATCTTCTTCTGTAAACTCTTTCATCTCATCCCCAGACTGGACCTCCATCTTCAGTAGATGTGATGGGGTCTCTGGGCTCATTGTTTCCAGATCATAGTGAGTTCCTTTTGGAAGAACCATTTCCAGCATACTGACATCTTCAGCTTGTTCCTTGTTCATTTGATGGATATCTGCATGTGTCTCGACTTCCTTCTCTCTGCATTCCTCATCATGCAAGCTTAATAGCTGGTTTTGGGTTTGTGTCTTGTTTTCATCTGTATTGTCGTCATCCCATGAACCACAGGGCATAGCTCCTGCCTTGATGCTTTGTTCATCTAATGAGAAGTTCCTATTCTCAGAAAAGTTCTTAGTTTCCTCTTCCCTATTCGCCCACTCTAAATCTATGTCAGACTCAGACCCACTGGATTCTCTGTGACTGTTGTCGTCCTCCATGTCGGGCTCATTTTGAGGTACGTTAACGTCGTCATCAGAGTGTAGACGCTCAAAGTTTGCCTCTGTTTTTATTTTAAAAAAGACACGACACAATGCAATGCACAATTCAAAATATGGGTAAACAGAAAAATCAAAACAGAGACTTCCTTTATATTAACGAGGTACATTGGGCTGTATTTTTATGGACTTTTCTTATATTGACTTAATATGGTAAAAAGTCAGATTATTTATGGAATAAATTGGTTTAGTGGTGAAAATCACAACATGCACAGTTGGCTACAAAAGTTTTCACTTCATCATTACACAAAAAGTCTCACACAAAAATCTTACCTGGGAATGCGTCCTTTAGAAAATTAGCAATGTTTTGCTCCATCTTGTTTTTGGCACAACGGTGTTAAGCTTTTATTTTCACCCCGTACCGACAAAATCAAAAACAGACATGACAGACACTCTGAATGTTCCACCACTTGACAAAATGAGCGTGTGTGATGCGTGCCTCATCATGTCATAGCTGCTTCCTGTTTAAATAAGGCCATAACAACAAGAGCATGAATAGAAACATCACAGAATTGAGCATGTACTGAACGAAAACTGCTAAATAGGCATGCAATGTAAATTAACATTGTTAAATAAGTATCAAAAGTTAACCAAGTATGTCAACCCATATTTACTTGATTTATTACATAGTATTTTGTGTGTGTGTGTGTGTGTGTGTGTGTGTGTGTGTGTGTGTGTGTGTGTGTGCGCGTGCGTGCGTGTGTGCATGTGTGTGTGTGTGTGTGTGTGTGTGTGTGTGTGTGTTACTGCTGCATGAGTGCAGCCTTGTTTGACTTTTTGTAGGTTGTGGTTTGAGTAGCTCAACCACACCGTCGCTGCTAAATTGATGCATCCTCCTCATGAGTAACAGTATATTTATGCAAACTCTTCCATGCAAACACAGTAAAATCTGATTTTAAGATGAACAAGATGGTCGATTTCCATTATGACCGATATAAAAAAAAGAGCATACAGTAGCTTCAATTCCTCTTGATCAAAACAGTGTAAGGGACTGACAAACTATGAGCTGACTTAAATAAGAAAAGGACCTTTCATTATATATATATATATATATATATGAGTATTTGTTAAAGAGTCACAATTGGAGTTTTGTGGATTTAATCCATGTATATTAGATTTTCTTACAATTTCAAGTATTACAATGAGACTGGCAATATGGACATTGTGTTGATTATTTAATCATCTCCACTAGCAAAATCAAATACAGGACACCTAGCAGAATAATTTGTATAATAATAACATGGGTAAAGATACCAAAATGGCTTAAATAGTGTAGTAAACTCTTTTTCTGCTAATATGTAGCCTACAATATAATAATTGGGCGAGTGCTTTTATTTTCCATGACCGTTATCCATTCACATTTTTTCTCTGCAACATCAGTTAAGTGCCTTAAAAACATGTATGTGTTCTGCTGCTGGTGTTTCCTTGTGTGACAACATTGTACACAGACTGCATAGTATCAGATGTTGATACCAGAGCACAGTACAAATACCAGTAGGTTATCACAGTATCAGGCTGATATTGATATTAGTATCTGTACTTTGTAGGCCATATTCACAGATATTCATCATTTTACAGTTCGTGGCGCAGGAGGTAGCGATGGTTTGCTTTTAAATCCACTTCTACAGGATAGTGGTCACTGACTTCCAAAGCCTAAATACAAAAAAAAAAGACACACATTTCAAAAATTGGTTATGAATTATTAACTCTGTTTTGCAGTTCTGTTTACCTCTTCCTCAGATAGATTAAATTCTTTTTTGAAGTTGAACGGTTGAGCAGATTCTGGAACTATCCCTGAAATGAGTTCTTTTCCATGAATAATAATCCTAAAGGGGATTTTCAGAAAGATTGAACTGTTAGACTATCAAACATATATTGGCATGTCATTTTGTCAAACTGGTAACTAGTTTAGACTCAGAATGCTATAGAGTGCTGCAGGAATGAGTCCTAAAACCTGGAAATGCTGTTAGTTAGCATTTTTGAACTTTAGCTTATCCATGAAATAAAAAAAGGTGTCGAATCATTCTGCCTAACATCTCATTTTAACCTCCATAAAAGAAATAAACTCATTCAGGTTTAAAATATCATGCGGCTGAATAAAATAAGGAAAAATATAATTTTGGGGGGATAAACAATCTCTTTAAATCATTGTAATTAAAGACCGGTTGTTCAAGTCAGTGGGATTTTTGAATGGGTTTTTGGTCAAATGCCTGAAATAAGGTCTGTGGTGAACACGTCTTGAAAACGGTGGTTGCTAACAAGTGGCTAAATGAGACTATATAAGTTGTCGGGGACATTAAACACTATCACGGCGAACAGGGAAACTCATTTACTCACTAACCAATCAAGTTCGTAGATTTTAAATAAAGAGTTGGCGGAAGCTTAGTGGTGGGGAAGCATGTGACTGTGGTGCCTATACTATAGCTTTTAACTTCTGGTGATTGTATTTAGGATTCAAAATTCATAAAAGTTGTGGAGATCATCTTGATGATCAAAATGTAAGAATCATATACATTTGTTGGTTATTTTCTTCAATAATCCAAAAGTCAATGGAAAAATCCTATTGGCTTTTGTCAAGGAAACCAGTGTGATGCTAACTTCTGGGTTGGCCTACAAAATTATGTCATCCCTGCAGCGCTCTATTGTCACAATATGGTTATTGTGTATAGGTTTGCTAAGAAAGTAAGACCTGTCATAAGCGCAGCGTGTTTTTTCACGCACTGTAGTGTCTTGTTCATCTCTGATCAACCAGTGGAACTTTGGGTTGTTCTTGAGACGCACGTTTTTCAGTCCTTTATTGGTAACATAGCTGCAGGCTGCATTTAAGTCCCCCAGGAACATCACATTCTAGATAAGGTTAAACGTTTTTTATACAATCGAGGTATTAATATAAAGTATGTCATTCTGTCTATCGTTCTATCTAATATAAGTTTGGTGTACCTCAGTTTTCCATTTCCTTCTGACTGTTTGGAAGACCTCATAAAGTGCATCCATTTCTTTCATTGCATTCTTAGGACAGGTGTGCTGACCAATGAGGACGAAGTTCTTCACCACTGTAAGATGATACGGCCAATCAGATTCAATATAAATGTATCTGAGCTAATCATTGTGCTGAAATGTGCTGTTTTATTTCCAGCTAGAAACGTTTATGCGACATACATGTTGTGGGAGAACGGACCCATATGATGAACGGCTCTCTGGAGAACACTCCTGCTGTGGTCTCATTGAATTCTGGATGCTGGTATTGCTCTTGCACCTGTAGCATGTCTTTTCTGTGAACACAGCATGTGCTGGATGAGTTCATCATCGCTCCTAGGGTTCGCAATATTCAGGTATATTCACTACAGATCACTTACACTTCGCTCGTGTTAACATTTGTGCACGACACCCATTTTAAAAGTTTCATTACCTGTAAATGTACACATACTGCTCTTTATACGTTTTCTTCCCCATTCTTTTACTCTCTAAATGGGTGTAAATGTGAGATGTGTCAAACCTGGGGGAAGTGAAATGAAAACATTGTTATATTATACATTAATTAGTTGCATGCATCAGTGACACATGCAGTAAATATATACCTGTTCAGGTTCATCAACAGTGCAGATACGGCTTGACCTCTAGAATCTCGAACCTCCTGAATCAAACTCAGGTCACAGCGAGAAATGATCTAGAAATTACATAATAATAATAATAATTTTCAAGAATTTAAGATGTTTTAAGATAGACAGACACATTTAATCTTTATTCATACTGTCAAAAATCTTTTGTACCTTTATCAAAATCTCCATAACTCTCTTATTACTGGCCTTTGCTTCCCCATAACTCTGGATGTTGAAGGCACAGATCTTCAATGATATTACAGAAGTCCAAAAACATAATCCAACAAAACATACCAGAAGAGGCGACCTCATTTATCAGAGCTTCTAGAAATACATAAAGTTACATTAGTCAAACAGAACACTTCCAATTTGTGTAAAACTGGAAACTGTAGTAGTAAATAGCATATAAGTTATAAGTTCTTGTTGCACAGCCCGTGTTATTAGCCATAGCCAGCTTATGTTAAAACACCTCAGGCCTACAGCAGCGTCATACTGTGGTATTGCACTTCCAGTTTTGTCACATTAAGCTGCAATTCAACCATAAAAAAGTTCCTCTGTAAATTTAAATCTATGAACCAAATACATTTCCATGAAAATATAACATGACTCACCCTGAATGACGGCTGTCAAGCTATTAAGAGCGTTAAAGTGTTGGAATGAATGTTTTAATGTACTCTGGTTATCTTTACACAGGAAACCATGGTGAAAAGCAGTGTTGGGCAAGGGGAGGGGCAGTGTGTGAATGTGTTCAAATGAGCTGTGTCAGAGCTCCATTAATGTGTAGGTCAGTCTGGAACGCTAAAGAGCGTGACCTGTCATGACAATGTGTTTTTTAAGCCATTCAACAGGACAATATTGTCCTTTTATTCTCAGTGAGTGCTAACTAAAAGAAATGTACACCCCCATCTGGAAATAATCTTTCAGTAAAATAGAGCTACAGCTCAGAATACAAATAGTATGTTGTTTAATAACGTCAAAAAATGCAAATCTCAGTTGTACATAGTGAATTTATTCAAGGCTTGAACTATTGACTTTCACATTTGAATGTCCAGTTTTTAAATTTCAATAATCGGAATAAAAAAATCTATATATGGGATACAGATTTAGGTATTAACTCATTGTAACACTTTTGTTTTGTAACATGTCACCAGTATTTACACAGTTTGGTCCGTTTTAGATACTAATACAAAGAACCATAAAAAGTAGGGGTGTAACGATACCCTCATGTCACGATTCGATACATATCACGATACTGAACTCACGATACAATATTATTGCGATACTCCAAGACATATGGGAAAAGGTTAACAAAAAATTGATTAAAATGCTCAATTTGATATTACAATGTGGGTGTAAATGAATAGGCTTGGACTTGGTGCTGATAACCCAATGAACAGGACAATGTTGACACCAGAATAAAAATATTCATGATTCTGAAGCTGAAAATACAGAATTATATTAGACAAATATGCTTGCACTCTTTCACTGACTAGATATATTTAAAATTATGTAGGCCACTTTTTACTGGTAACTCTGTAAACTTTAACTTTTTCTCACACAGTCATTTTCATTTTGGGTGAACTATACACAAAACATATTGTCACTATCCACGATACATATATTGTTGCATTTTTGTATTACGATATATTGTGCACGATATATTGTTACACCCCTAATAAAAAAGATGATAAAATAATAGAGACATAATATGTCCAACTTTAAAAAATCTATTAAAAATGTGAAATAAAAAAATAAATATAAACAACAAATCTCTAAGACTCTTGGCTTTACTCTTGCCTGTCACACAGGTTTAAAGCAGGCTCCATGCTGAGCTGATGCTGTCTGTATGAGGTAGTCCTCCATTCGCTGTTCCAGGTCAGAGTAAAACTGGCGGAGCTGCTCTCTAGCAGGTGGATGATAAAACCACAGGCCTGCCACCACCACCACCATCATGAGCAGTAAGAACAGACATACACAGAGCCAGGTCCCACAGCAGCCACTCTGTTCGGGGAGATAGAGGACGACAATTATTTATGGCATAAATGTACAAGAGAAACCAAATGAAACGGGGATAAAGTGTAGAGAATGCTGTGCATGATGTAATGTAGTCTCAATTTTAAAATTCAAACATTCTAAGAAAACTAGTCTAACGAGAGACTGATAGTCACGCATTGGTGAGACAGTAGGATGTTCGAGTCTCACCCTGCTGCCTTTCTGCCGCGTCCTCAGTATGTTCAGCTCTTCTCGGCACTGGGTCAGTCGGGACTGATAGCCGTAACACTCCTGCTCCAGGGCCTCAAGATCCGCCTGCAGCTCTGTGTACTGCCGGGTAACCAAGACAACACTATGTTAAACTATGTCTTATGGTAATTTATAGAGAAAAAAAATCTAAAAGAAAGGAAATGCTTTTTACAGCAGCATACATGTTTTGTTGGTTTACTTTATTTTATTGTTCCCCTAAAATAGTCTTAAATGGTGACAACTGAAGTAGGATCACCTCTGCTACTCTACAGCTAATAAAGTTTCTTTGTTTTGCTTTTTTTAGATATTAAATATTTGAAAGATCTTTGTAGTTCATAGTAGTTCAATTTTGGTTTATTATCGTAAAAGAAAATGTTAAATACAACAAAAATATAAAGGTATTTTCTTGAATGTAATTTACATTTCAAATACCTGCATACATTTCTAAAACAGAAGTTTGAAAGCTAGGTTTTTTACAGAGAAGATTTTGTATATTTCCTTTTACCACTACGTAAACTGGAAAATACTTTCAATAGAAAAAGATTCACCTTATTCTTAGAAATAAAATAGTATATAAACCAGGCAAATAATATATGAACAAAACTTCAGAATATGCTGTAGAAAACCAAAAGTATTAAAGTGGAGATTGTTGGTTAAAAATCATGATTGTGAGGCAACAGCAATTAAAGATATGTATTGTAATTAAGATCTGCAGATACAAATAGATAAAGTGTAATAAACATTCAAATGTGTGTTTTGGATGTTTTCTTTCCGCTAGTCTAAACGAAGACATGTTATGGGTGCAAAATAACTCTTGTGTGTAGTGCATAAAAAAACAACAATGTAGTTGTTGCCTGTAGTATCTTGCCTTAATTCAATGTCAGTGCTCTCTCTGGCAGATCTTTACCTCATTTTCTTTCATTCTGAGTCTCTGTTCTGTGTCTCTCAGTTGTCTTGCTATGCCGTTATCTGTCCGTAGGAGTTGGTCCAACACTGAAACATTTTCATGTATTTGTGTGTTACTGTTCCACAACTCGTGGTTGTGTCCTGTGAGTGTGTGAAAGAAAGAGACAGATAAAGAGAAATGCATGAAATGTGATTTGAAAGAAATGCAGCTTGTTAATTCCTTAAACGTTTCTAAATATTTCCATGATTGTTTTATCTAAATATGTGAAGTGAAAGTCAGTTTGCCAGCACCTTTGGCTTCCTGTAGATATTCTCTCAGGTTGAGGTTCTCCTCCTCCAGCTCGGAGATGCAGGAATGAAGCTCCGCTCTCTCTAACTGAAGAGATTCACTCTGTTTCCTCAGCATCTCCTCCTGTCCCACAGAACGCTGCACAAACATTTATACAACAATAAATGAAACATGCCACAACCTGAGAAGAAACATTCAGTCAGTTTTAATTAAAAACGCTTTTGCAAAATTACTGAAAGTCACTTCCATTAATGCTTCTATGATTGGATCATTATTGCAGTCGTTATTATGTTTCTAGCAAAAATTATTCTAACCCTAATTGATTGAGTGTATAGCTTTTAATTTCTTAAACAACCATGTCGAAAGACACATCATGGACATATTCCAGAATGACAATATCAAGATTCATCAGGCTCAAATTGTGAAAGAATGAATGGTAACTCAAAGAATGGTTAGGAGGGAGCATGAAGAATGGCAACTTTACAGAGTGCTTGACTCTTGCATTGTCCATACAAGATCTTGATTAAAAATGTATGCACCTCTTGATGGAAATAAATGTTGTGATGTTATTTATTTTTGGTCAAGATCTTGTATTGACAATGCAAGAGTCCAGCACTCTGTAAAGTCTACTTTCAGTCTCCCCAATGAATTTAATGTCTGGACTCAGAGGTGCCAGTTCATGTGTGAAAATAATTCTTCAACCATTCTTCCACAATTTGAGCCTGATGAATCTTGACATTGTCATCCTGGAATATGTCCATGATGTGTCGGTAACGCTTCCTTTTACAGTCCTGTTACCCATGTACATACTATGTACTTATTATAGTAATTACAATTACTGGGTAATAACTAGGTACTAACCCTGAACCTATACCCCTAAACCCCTAACCCATGTACTTACCTTATATTAGCCAGTACTTTCTAGGTAAGTACACTGTAAGTACACGTAAGTACTGTACTGTAAAAGGAAGCGTTACCGATGTGTCTTCCTACATGGTTGTTTAAGAAATGAAAAGCTACACACTCCATCAATTAGAGTTAGAAGAACTGTTGCCAAACTTATAACATGCTAGAAACATAATAATCACTGCAATAATGATCCAAACAGAGTCAAAGCATTTGCATTTTTAAATTCAAACAGCAACTTTTTTTGGCCGGGCAGTGTAATTTCTTTCTTTTCTTCAGACGTTTCTGAAAAAAGTTCTGATTGGCTGTACTGAAAGCAGATTGACAAGGGTCCTGTGGTTTGTCAGCTTTTGTAGAAATCTGTGATGTGTCACTCAAGTCCTTTGATTCTCTCATCATGGTTTTGCTTTGCTATACCTCCAAGTGACCCTGCAACTGTAGGATCTGATCGGTGCACTCATCCTGCCTCTTCTTCAGCTGACTCGAACCCTCTTTCAGCTCCTCACACAGCCTCTGCCACCACTCTGACTCTGTGTGTGCTGTCTGCAGCGCCCCCTATGGGAAGGGATGATTGGATTTTTACAACCCAGCTAGGAGTTCTAAAAGCAAGAGCTCTGTCCTTATGGTGGTAAAGTATATTTATAACAAAATATATAAATATTGAGACTTTTTTGACCTGTGCATTTGGGGTCTTACCTGGAGGTACTCCATGTTGCTCTGAGCTTCCGCCTTCTCATTCTCCGCCCTCTGAATAGCCTTCAGAGCCTTTTGTTCATACTCCTCCCTCTGTTTTTCCATCTTTAGCACCACTTTTTTCACTCCATCCTGAGGAACCTTCTGAAAGGGCAAATTGGAGCATTTATCTTCTATTTTAAAAAAAAAGTGTCTCAAACTCTCTGACCTGTACTTATCCAGGGCGGCATGTTAAACCTATATACAATTATACAACTTTTGAAAAGCAGAAAAATATTCAGAATTCACTTGATTCTTGTAATCTAAGTGTAAAAGATCATTTGTATTTGTTTGTACGTTGTAAGTTCTCAGAGCTGGAGTTGGATCTTTTGCGGTCTTACCTTGATGCAAACCAGCAGCTGAGCCTCCAGAGCTTTGATCTTACTCTTCAGCAAGTCCTCATCACAGCGTGTCTGTGGGAGGAAAAGGAAACGTGCTAGTGTGTCAGAGAGATAGAGAGAGAACCACTGAACCAAGAGTTTTCAGTTTCTGTGCATACTGCATCCTGTGTGACAACCACCATCCTTAGCATTGCTATATTGGTTCTTGAGAGAAATACAGACATTGTTATGAGTTCAAAATGGAAAAATGTATAAGTTTGAACAGGTTGAGTTTGAAGCATCACAAAAGCTCAAACAAACCTCTCTCTGACGCCTACACTGCTCTCCATTTTGTGTGTGAGCAAGAAAACATCTTTCTATTTTTCTGAACAAGCCATAAGGAGCCGGATGCTGTTGACCACAAGACCATCCCCCAACTCTCTCTACATTACTGCTGTCTTCTGTGTTCAAACCAGGAAACTCGCCAATTGCTGAAGCCAGTATTATGCAGAGTGGCATTGTATGCCTGAGTAATTGAAAAGTAACCATGAATTTCAGAATGTATTTGCATTTGTTTTGTCTTCCTTTTATTCCCTTTTTAACCGCAGCACTCGAGCTGCATGAACTCAACAAAGAGCATCTTGTGCTTCAATGGAAGCAAGGACATCTGACCGTCTGTACAAATGAGTTCACACGGTCAATGTGTTCGATTCGATTTTAGAATGCCGTCAGGTGCATGTGTGTGTGTTGTGTGAATAATGCTTCAGCAGGAAGTTGTTCACTAATGTACCTTCCACAGGAGCTCTGTAGAGCGCAGCAATGTAGAGGCGCTCTTCTGGAGGCTGGAGAGCTTCTTTTTAAGAGCCTCTTCTCTATGTAAGGCCTCCTGCATAGAGATGTCACATTTCATTATATCAG